GGTTAAAGCTTTTTGCACTGGCAGGTTCAGCGTCTTGCAGTTCGTTTGACTGAACTTTAACCGTTACAGTTGATTCACACCAGACTCAAGCTCGGCCGGCGAGGCCAGTACTATAGCAAAAATATATTGCAGTCGCGAAACGCGCCATGGGCCATAGGCTCCTATTTTCATATACTACCTACTTGCGATCGTAACCGTGACTCCACCCCCCCTACTAGTACAAGCACGATTGGAAGGTACGAAGGACAGCCAACGGCAGCTACGAACTTCCCAGCACGCCACTTGAACGCCCAGGTAAATCGGTTCCCGCAGAAGCCGGCTGTCTAGCAAGTCCGATTCAAGGACCACCATGTGCTACCGCCTTATCGAATAATTAGGATCTTCAGCGTCAGGTACCGTGGCACGAAGGAGACGTTGGTTAAGTCGCAAACCAAGGGAGGAGAAACAACCTATGCAATCCGAAACATATAAAAGCCTCCTTGCGGAGACTCTGACTGCAGAACTCAAGCTCGTCAATCCACGCTCAATCTCAACTACCAATACACTTTGTATCTAACAATCTGACACAATGCCACCCCGGCCCTTCGTCAAGAATTTGACCTTCCAGTCGTAAGTGTTGGCAATCTCGCTCTGCACAAATTTCTTACCCGACATTTCGCAGCAAGGACCTAGGCAAGGAGGTCACGCTCATGCTCGCCTGGAGTCCCAACGTGGAAGGCCTCTACGAGGACGTCTTCCCGATAGTTTGGAAGTAAGTGCGTCTACTTCTGTCTGGGGCGACTTAAAACCTTTGCATTTCTTTCAGAGTCAGCAAATTCGGGAAGTCGGGTGGGTGTTCCTATTCTCTTGCTGCCAGGTTGCCGACTTACACATGATCCCTCTTTCTAGGTCCATACCGGGCTACCGCTACCTATACGGCCCAGTGAGATAATCGACGAACACAATAGTCTTAGAAGTCGCTCATATATTGTATAGACTCGCTTTCTCCAGAGCCCAGGTCGAGAGTGGGAAGGTCATCAGCGCTGCGACCTCCGTCAATATCAATGTGAGCGATTCTCATCTTCTCCGAAATTGCTAGCACCAACGCAAGCCACGATGCAGAACGGCGAGAAAACAACCTTGACAGAAGCCAACGAGGTCTATCATTTCTCTGTAAGCCTGGCTTCCGTTGATTTTCATCTCGACCACCGACGAATACCTCGTGCAGCCCCCTCAGGCGGGAACATCTGGCATCCTGCAGGCCCAGAACCACACTGGGAGTATCCAAGAAATAGCAGTCGGTTTGTGAACATCTTCGTTGCCTCATCTTTTACCTGAGCATATTGTCCACCTCCAGGCTTCGTAAACAGAGGAGACTTTATGCCCACACCTGTACTCTACTTCAGCGATGTCGGGTAAGTCACCTTTCTTTTATTTCTCCTTCAGAGGGTTCACAATATGAAATGCAGAGACGGCAGTCGCGTCACGGCAAAGTTCACTCCGGTCTTGCGGGCCTACATCACGTCGGACTATGAAGAGACCTCAATCTTACGAGGTCAGGTCGACACCCCTGCGATCTGGTCGCAAGACCTCACTGGGCTCGCTCAGAACACGACTTGGAACCTCTCGCGTGACGCGAACACTGGACGTTACACGATCACCCATGCTTGATAAGACATTGGTGCGCCTGGATATTCGTTCTGTGATGTTTGCATCTCATGTTTTCATAGTATCTTCGTTCAAACCAATGGCCTCACTGAGTTGCTTGTCTCTTTATAAGATTGCTTGTGTGTCATGTATTTCGCAAAGAGTTGAGAGTTGTAGAACTTCTTATGGAGCTTTGTCTATGTGTTTGAAATGTTGCATTATGCTGAACAGGATCTCTTGAGTGTGCATATCAAGATGTTAGCTTTGTGAAACAGAACATTAACGCTCCACCTGACAGCAGTCAACGTTTCAACTTGGTCATGATGCATACAGCGTGATTTTGAGATTGTAGCTGTTGTATTTCGTCTAATTACAAGTAGACAGGGGTTATTATTTATGTCGAGTGAGTGTGTGATCAGTCGCGCCAAATATAAAATTTAAAACTCACTGACAAACCCAAATTGCAGTACCACTAAGTCAGGCCGTTTGATATCGAAAGAAGGTACTGACCTGAAGTTCTGCTCTGATAGTCATCTCATTTCACTTGAGCACACCGGCAGTCGCGATGATGGAAACGGAGTCCATTCATGATTCGGCTTTAGTCAATGGCGGCACCTTCCACCAGTCATCCTCTTCTCTAGATGCCGATGTTGTGCTCTGCGCCAAAGATTAAGTATACTCTGTTCCGTATCCACTCATGGACGCTCAAGACAACATCGGGCCGGTTCCGATCCCTCTTTTCCGTGCCTCAACAAAACCCTCTTCCGAATCACCCCGAGGTCATCAATTTAGACGAGGGACTCGCACACACTGGCACTAGCTGAGTCTCCTCCTTATGATCTGCAGTCTGCTGATCAATCCACTCACATCGTATGACGAGGTCGATGCATTGTTATTCGCCGTAGGTGCCTAATACTAGTGCATCAGAGAACCTGTGAGAAGAAGATATCGTCATATATCATTATATATCGTAATATATAGGAAAGGTTTTCATCACATTGGAATATAAAGTGATATAAAGCAATATATGACTATGTAAAAGCACCATAATCAGCATAATCCCCAGCAAGAACTCACCGGTTTACTGATGGCCAGTACTAAGTGCACGTGCGTGTTGGACGATAAGGTCGAGACTTTGCGTCTCATTCAGGACTGCATCAACGGTCTTCCTAAGACGACGCGAAACGCAGTAGTGCACCATTATATCTTGATGAATAGGTTAGTCGAGCAAATGCTATATTCCAAGGATGATGCTCAATTTTGGGAAACGTTTAACATGATCTTCGACGCAGTCTCAGAGGAAAAGAACCCCTCCGCCAAACTCTCCTCCTCAAACCACGATGACCTGCTCGCTGTTCTCGACGGATTGGAATCAGTCCCAAGCCATTTGGCCACGCCCCAACATCAGATTTATTCGGCAAACTCAGACGACACTCGAAACGGTTGAGATAGACGACGGAGGCAGATGGGGAATTTGATAAGGAGGGAATGGAGCTTTGCGATACGGATCAACAGCTGCTTGAATGGTCTATGCGAGCGGGCGGTTTTGGGCAGTCTCAGCAGTCCGAGGAACAGCATCAGCATGCTCCAGGCCCTGCCCCAACCTTGAATGCAAGTGCAAACGCAAACGCAAACGCAAATCCACCGCCACAACCAGCGTCTATGCACCCTGGACTCCAACACCCTACCTCATCGCGCCCCTCATGTGCTCTTTCTGTGATAAGTACTGTGATCCCCACCTCGCTCTCTCTATCTTCGACTACACCCGGCACTTAAGCATCCCAAGCTACGTATTCGGATGCACCACTCCCACATACAACGAGCTGATAGAAACCCGCTGGTCATGTTTCCGCAACCTCAGAGGTGTGCATGATGCCCTCGAAGAGATGCACATCAATGGCGTCGAGCCAGATGGCAGAACCAAGAAATTCGTCGAACAACTAAGGCGGGAATTCAAGTCTATACAGTATATAAGCGACTTTCAAGAGTATTGTTCCCGTAGATCTTACCGGTCGTGTAGGTAGCAGTAGCCCTGAATGGACCTTGAGAGAGGGCTCATATCTAAGTCGGCAACTTTGCAGGAAGAAAATAGAAACACCTACATACCCGTCTTCCCGAATTTGCTGACCCTGAAAAATTACAATTCTCAACTCTTGCAAAACACACGACGCTTAAGTGAGGCCATTGTTTTGAATGAAGATATTATAAAAAGAGAGTAAACATTAGGATGGAGTCTGAGACCTTACAGAACAGATATATAGGCACACGAATGTCGCATTCCTTCATCACGCATGTACGATCGTGTAACGTCCAGTGACCGCGCCGCGCGTGAGATCTGAGATTGCAAGTGGTGGTTCTGGGCAAGCACAGCAAGGTCCTGCGACCGGTTCGCAGGGTGTCCACTTGACCTCGTAAGATTGTGGTCTGTTCATAGTCCGACTTGATGTAGGGACGCAGGACCGGAGAGTGAACTTTGCCGTGAAGCGATTGCTATCTCTGCATTTTGTCAAGGGGACATAGAGAAAATATGACATACCCAACATCGCTGAAGTAGAGTGTAGGGTCCGGTGCAATGGGCATCAACGTAACCAACCAGGGTCTTTGTTGATCTGTCAAAAACTCGCAACATATCCGGATTCCGAGTCAGTGTTTGATCCCAGGAACATGGTCTTTCGACTCTCTTGCATCTGAACATCTGAATCGCACCATCAGTGAAACGGTGAACAAATGGTAAGGGTATTTAAAGCAATATATTATATTAGATACCTAGGAACAATCTTTGTAACTGTGCTGACCCTTTTCACAATGGAATATTTGGCATTGTCGAGGAAAGACATTTACAAGTACGATAGCCCCAGTAGCACTATTTTCTTCGCGAGCTTTTGCACCTGGACGCATCGAGAACCCGACAAGAGAAAAAGAGCACGTGTTGAAGCGTGCCAATCAGTGGACCGGTGAATTCTTGCTGGCGATAATGCTGATCGTGGTGCATTTGCATGGTACCCGCATCGGCGTTGAACGTTGATGTCCAATCGATTATCGTTGACTGGAGGTTTATACAGGCAGAGAGCAGAACGTGAAAGTTGAAACTTTGTCATCACAAAATTTGCAGAACTGAGATATTACCAGGCTCCTTCCCAGCCCCACGGTTCGAGTGTGGAGGGGCGATATCTGGAGGACGTTCCTGAAATGGCCGGTCTTGGTATAAGTCTATGTCTGGGCACAAGTCTTGGTACAAGTGGCGATGCTCTGACGGAGTTTGAAGACGCCGGCACCCCCCGAGCATGGCTGACATCACATACCCGCCTCTCCCACCAGTCACATCACACTTCACCCGCCGCCGCCGCCAGGGGCTGCATACCAACGCATGGGCCATGGACATCACGTCCCTCTTTGCTGCCATGCAGCAACATGATCAGCTTGCCACCATGCCATTTCTCAATCTTACCACCTTTCTCTGGTGTTCCAGCCTTCTCAAGGATGATATTCTACAACCACAGCCACACACTGTCTCTGTCCTCGTCGCACCCAACATACTGCTGCCATCCATCAATGAATTTCTGGCCGAAAGGGTTGCCATCTCCAAGGATGCTGTTGATGTCCTATGGGATATTGTCAAGGATCTCATTTGGATGTTGCCCACAGCTGAGGAGGCCGCCACTGAGGAGGAGGAAGCATTCAGATCATATGGCCACAAGCGAGGGATCAGTAAGTATATCATTCATTCTATGTTAGCTTGACACTCACATATCTTACAGCGAAGCGCACCCTATACCCTCCTGTCAAGACATGCATCAATCCAGACTGTAATGCCTGGCGAAATAACTCCCTGCTGAAGAAGGAAGAGCAGCGACGTGTAGTGGTCTTTACCCATGCACAAGGTGCTCATCCTGCTTGGTCTGTTCACTTGAAGTGTCGAGGTAAGTGTTTGTGCCCTCAATACATCAAACTATCATTAACTTGCAGTCGTTTTTCAGTTTGTCATACGAATTATCACCACAATTACAGCGTCAAGGATGGTACAAGGACATACTACGATGGTATACCATCCTATCTACAAGTTGCTGAGCACCAATTTATTCAGCTCGAGCTCGCAATGAGCTGGATGGATCTCATGCAGATTCCGTGAGTACCCATTGTTTCCTTCTTTCGTCTCTGACTGTTTTTATTCAGTGTCTCAGCAACAAATTGCGCGCGAGTATATGATATTGCTCAATCTCGTCGAGTTTCTGATCACAACGTACCTTGGCAATTTGGGACCTCAGTGACGACGGAGGTGGTGTGGGACTCCTTCACCCTCCTTGCATTGCTTGACGACCACCATCGAAACGGTATTCACCTACAAGTTCCCCATGGAGGAGAGCAAAAGGACCGCTTCACATGTGCCATGCGCAAGCGTACCGAGCGCATCATCACTCATGGACAAGAGGAGCTTCCACATGCCTGTGATGGCTGCCTGCGGGTGTTTGAGATGCCTGATGGGACACTCAGCCGCACAGAGGTTGTTGTTACTGATGGTGTCACTGTGGGGCATCCGTGCTGTGCAGTCCCGCGATGCACCAATGCCCTTGCAAATACTCGCCATCGGTACTGTTCTATAGACCCTGCGCACAAGCACTTGGAGACGATATGCGCTGTGGAGGGATGTGACCGGCCTGTGACTTGCGACACTCAGTCTGGGAAGCTTCGCAAAGCCTGCAACGACCCCCTCCACCTTCAAATGGAGGCTCTCAATGTTGAATCCATGCAAAGTGGCAAGAGTCGAACATGGCGTCAGAAGCTCGTGAAGTCTAATGATGCCATGGCCTCTGTTGATGCTGGCGACAGTCTCGGTGTCCAAGATGGAGAGGAGTGGTATGAGCACGATGGACACACGGGAGACACTCGCCTTGTGCAACCGGTGGTTACAACTTCCACTGGAGTCAATGATGAAGATCGTGCCTGCAAGGAAAAGGAAACGCAAGGCAAGCTCAAGGCACTTTTTCGACGCCAACGGACAAACAACGAACAGCTTGTTGTTCGTCCTTGTGGGATAATCAATGCATGTAGTACTATGTACCATCATGAGGCAGTATCAAATGTTTTAGTAAGTGATCCTAACATCCCTGCTTTTTCTACCTTACTGATGCTGCATAGCTCCTGATTGAGCAGGTATATTCCCTTCCTCGTGCACGGAAACCACAACATCTTATCTACGACTCCAACTGCAATGCCCTTCGTGAAGTTATGAGCCATCAGATCAAATTTTTTGATGACATCGGCATGTGTGTTGATGCATTTCATCACCGGATGAAGCACAAGATGACGGACACTTTGTGTCGCGAGCACTGTGACATGAAGGGTTATCCAGAGTTGTTGGACAAGGATGGTGGGTACTACTTCAACTCTTCAATTGCAGAGCAGATCAATGTCTGGTTCGGCGCCTTCCATAACATTTGTCGCGAGATGACACCAGTCAAGTATGAGTTCTTTTTAGATGAGATGATCATTTGGCGCAATCGTGTTACTGTAACTACCCTGCGTGCGCAGGGTAAAAGGCCTTATCATCCATGTTTCACTTAATGCCTTAGTTCAGGTGTAGAATTAGTTACACACCAATGTTCTCAATCGCGACATCATGAAATCAATATCACATGCATTTCCAAAGATAACTATGACAGCGACTAGTAAGAATAAAGTAAAATGTATAGAGCAGACATTGAACAAATCGAGAATAAGAATATAATGAGGGACAGTATGTTTACCTGGCCTTGCCAGGCTTCTTGCTCTCCTGCCCAAGTGCCCTGCGACGAGCACTGAGGTAGTGCGACCAAAGACCCAATGGTGTATGACCTGCAGCCTCGTGTTCAGTAAGGACAGTGTGATCTGTCACTCGCCACATTTTGTGATTGTGGTGATAGGTGGCCTTGACATAGGGGATTCCGAATACGAGAGGGAACAACTCATGCTGAAAGTACCTTGCTCGCAGGAGCTTGTCATCCATCTGCCGAAAGCCAGCCACCATGTCGATGGTGTGCATACTGTGGGGCCACACCTGTGATGGCTTTGCAGGGTCATAGTTGGGGACAGGAATGGGAGTAATAGTGGGTATATTGATGGAGGTTGCTTGCTGTCGTGTTGGGGCACTGGACACCTCCACTGAGGCAGTTGAGTGATGCGAGGATGCAAGTGAAATCACAGATGATGCTGATGACAAAATTGACATAGAGATTGTATCACGAGGGGGACTGGATGAGAGAGAGATGACACTATGACTGCGAAGGGGGAGTGGAGAGGGTGTGGGCAAAATAGATATTGCACGACGGCTGTTGAAGTCCTCAACCATGAGTCGTGGCCGCACAGGAGTTGAAGTAAGCTCTTGACTCTCCTCCCGTTCACGCTTGACTGTGATGGCAGGGGATGATGGCGTCTCGATGACCTCAACCTCAGCTACAGGGTCTGGTAGCAGTACCTGCTCCTTCTTGGCCTTGAGCTTCATTCGCACAGCATCGCGCTCGCCTGTCATGTTGAACCGAAGGTGACGAGGGCGTGAGATACATTTTGATGCCATCAAGAGCTCCTGAAAGCTGTTGCACTGCACGACACCGTAACGTCAGAGGAATATATTACAGCTGGACTCAAGGGAAATGGTATGTGTGAGGGCAGTGGGAATCCAGCATTGCAGGTGCTCATCGTACACTTCGATCTTGTGAATATCTGCACCCAAGGATGCAACAAGCTCGGGATCGTCAGCGAGCTGCCATTGAGGATAGTAAGGGCACTTGGACACCCATTCAACCTTGACAGCGGCATCGTCCTAGGTATAGTATGAGCAGAGTCACATTGGAAAAATGGAATAATACTTACAGAGTCAAACCAATGCAACACAAAGCGCTGCTTCGCTTCTCGTTCCATCTCTTTGCGGCGTTCCTCAATCCGCTTATCATCTGCCTCCTGTTGGGCCCGGGCACGTAGATCAGTAACCCATATAGGGTCCATCTGTTGCGTGATTCGTGGGTGCTTCGGCATTGGTCTAGAGGACGGTGTGTGAGGTAGTGCAGGTAGCGCAGGGGAGGAAGGTAGATCAGCCTCAAAAGGCACATTCGGCGATTGGACGCGGGGGATAGGAGCAGGCGGTGCAGATATTAGGTCGTGTATAGAAGGAACTGGTATATCTGGGATTGGAAGGTCAAGGTCTTTGAGAGAGGCATTCAATGCCTGACGGAGCTCCTCACGTCCAAAGCCACCATCCTCCAACTGCTCAATCAGAAAGTCATCATGCACCTCCTTGTCGTGCACATCCTCGTCGTCTCCATGCAAAGGCAGGCCATCATGAAATCCATGAAAATGACAACCACCTGCCTCACGACAATGCCTTAGACATAAGTCATGGCTGCAGCACAAGGCATGCGGATGAGTGCAGAAAGAGCCTAGACACCACTCACCCCGCTTGCATTGTCGCTTGCTCGAGGGCTGTGTTGAGGAGGGTGGCAGCATGGCAAGGGTAGTACTGCTAGAGGAGGCGATTGGTTGAGAGCTGGGGGGACTAGGCGATGTGGTTGACATTTGAATTAATGACATGATGTGCGGTAAGGCAAGTAGTTGCAGATACCAACGGTAGAAGGAGCACGACGAATGCTGGCAACTTAAGTCAATATGCAGCAAGTGTTAGAGACAAAGCAGCACGTACCCTTGCCATTGGTTTCCCGCCATTACCGCTCCTATCAGTCCGACAGATTGACAGGGAGACCACACCACCACAATTGGTACAATCGGTTACAAGGCCAGTGGGAGACAGGCGGAGGAACAACTGCGCAAGCAACACAATGTCAGCATGAGACAGTGGAGGAGACATAGTGGGAGCAGGATGTGATATTGAGAGAACACAAGCACATAGAAAGAGGGGAAGGAGCACGATTCAAGCCAGGAGAGGAAGACAAGGAGTGGGCATACCGAGTGAGGTATTTGAGCAGCTCAGACATGGTTTGAGCGGTGTCTAAATGGGGGATTCCATCGCCTCCAGTGGTGACGGGCGGGCATACAGGCAGCATTCCTGACAGTTGGCGGACAGCGGGCAGCGGGCAGCAAAGGGGCAGGATGATAATAATAACCTTGCTTAGGTGAACGCACCTGCAAGTAGCTGATTCAACTCCGCTAGAATTTGCCGAGTGTGCCGAGGGGTGCCCAGACTTCTACCCAGACGTAGGCCTGAAGTCTGCATAGACTTGTGCCAAGACCGGCCAGAATCCTGACATTCACGATATCTGATGGCATTGTCGGTACTGTTTCATAAGTCACATGATACAAGAAAAATTCAAACCCAGCACAACCTTATTCCCCCTCACACTCTCACCGGGGGCTGGAAGATAACATTTGTAAACAAAGGTCAGCCACAGTGACGGTGACCATGAAACTTTGAAAATATGAGTTTGCACCTAGCGTAGGGTTACAAAATTTCGAATATGATATGTATTTTTTATCCCCGGCTATTGTTACACCCGTTGTTATACAGATGACAGCTCCTACATCAGCAAACTAGGGGGCATCTGTACAATACTGTACAAGATTGTACACTATTGTACAGACATTACACTTACACAAGGAAGTCCCCCCTTTACAATACTGTCACATACTCCTACAATTTGTACAGACAATACACACTGTACATATGACATATACTGTACCAAGGATACATTTAATGACAGGCTTCACACAGTAAACATGACATACCGCCTGGTAAGGCTCACATAAACTGTTATGATTGTGTAACAAAAACATGGTAATCAAAGTATGATATTAATGTCCTCCGTGTCACTGCCCATTGCACTCCCAGCTGCATACCCATCAAAGTCGCCCATGCCAATCCTAGCCCATTGGTCCAACATGTCTCCAAGCTCGTCGCGGCGCTCCGGAATGTCGAGCAGTTTGTCAACTGATTTCCGTAGATTGACGAAGTGGATCCTGCACTGCTCAGCGGTTAGATCAGGAACCTTGTCAGTGCCAGTCTCCCGAAAGCCAGAGATAACGCCCTTCAACTGTCAAATCATCAGCGACGAAAGGAAGAAAAAAATAAGCATACCACCACTGCTACAAGAAGCATCGCATTGACAGGGATTGTGCGGTGGAATTCGTCCGTGTTCTTTAGTGCTTTCTTGCTGTTGCTGTAGTAGAATTCAAGACAAGCGTCCTTGAGAGCCTGCAATGTGAAATTCTTGAATGATCCCTGCGAGAATTAAATGTAAATGGCGCTATTACTGGGAGTCACGACTTACACCAGACGAGTCAGGGAGCCGGAGGTAGTCACCGCTCTTGAGGAGCCTAGCAGCAGTTGCGGTGACATGCTTTTGAGCCTCCTCCTTTCGCGTCATGGAGCCCTGTGGGAAGATATCATATGCCCTTTTTGCAATAGGGATAATGACCTTCTTGAGCTCTGTGCGGAACGTGAAGAGGTTGTCACATAGCTCATCAACTATCAGCGAGTGCATTCACCATTAATAAAGTAAGAACATACCAGCCGGCACATGTCAATGTCGTACTCCGGAAAGTAGCCTCTCTCGAGTTTATTCTTCTTCTCGTGGTATATCCATAGCACAGTGTCCAACACTTCTCGAGCAAGGCTGAGGGTGTCCTGGGATTCTGGAATTGGGTGGGATAGAACGGCCTGTGATCACATCTCTAACTTCGCCACCTGCAGGAATACTTGCCAAGTGGGTGGGTAGAAGCCTAGCTTCGAAGGGTTCTCCTGGCTTGTCTCTCCGTCTAAGTTGGTATCCATGGAATCCCCGGCTTGACCATCAAATTGCGAGTCACCCCCAACACCAAATCCCATACCAACACTAGCATCCGAATTTTGAGGTAGATTGAGGGATCGCTGCGGCGGAACTACATCCGTGAAATCCAAGATGTCAACGATGTCACGAACGGAACTGTGACAGGATGTCCGAGGCTGACTTAGATGGCGAGTGACGCTGGAGTCCTTGGTGAAAACTTTCCTGCACTTTGGACAGGTCGGTGTTGGCATTGATGATGTGTGCACGAAGTTCCCACACTTCTTTCATTCAGTCTAGGCGCATGTACATCCATATGTTCTCTCAATCTAAAGTCTATCATCCTCCATCTTACCATTCCTACGATCCTTCTTTTGACTCTCACGGCTCTGATGCTTCATCAACTCCTCAAGCCTCATCAACTCGAGCCTCATTAACTCATCGAGCCCGATCAAGTCATTGAGCCTCATCACCCCCTTCAAGTTGGCCTGATAAAGGACATCCGTTCCCTACACATTCTCCGCAATCGCATTCTGTCAAGGTGGAGGAAGATGACGACGACGAGAGCTTACCTATACCAATGCATTTTGTGAGTTGCACCTGCTTATGTGTTGCTTTGTTACTCATATCCCGCTATCTGCAGGAACAAGACTCAGCAGAGTCCAGCTTGTTTGATCAACCAGCAGAAGAAGAAGACTCCGACCTTGCGCTCAAGGCTGCCCAGGCCAAACACAAAGTGTGTCAAGCTCAAAAACACTTGGCCGACTGCATTTTGGAACAATATCAAATACTTATCCATATCTCCCGCCGCCGGGCAGAAGCTGCAAACCAGCGTCTATTATTGGCTGACCTCAACGTCGGACGCATGCACTCAGAGCGCCGGAGGAAAAGCGGTATCACAATGTTTACTATTCGAGCGTGACACTGAGTAGTAAGTATGTTTTTATTTCATAGTACCGCTGTTATTAATAAAATGAAAATTTTATTATAGACCATGTAGCATAGTAAATAGGCAAAATTCTCGCTGCGCATATGTATACAAACTCGCTAGTGTTAATTATGTCTTCTACAAGTGCTACAGTGTGTTACAGTTTGTGTCACTTGTGCCGCTTGTACAGTGTGTGAGCTTGTTGGCTTGTACTTGCTTGTGCTGCTGTGAGCTTGTAAGCAGACTTATGGTCATTTGTTTGTGATGTCTGTGGGACCTGTGATCCTTGTATGGAATTGTGCGGATTTGTCAAGCATGTGGGAATTGTGACGAAATCAATAGTTTGCTGATGTAATCTGTGTGAGACTCCTGCATTATCTGAAATCTATCTAAAGACCCAGGGTGCAAGTGTATCGATCACCTTCTGGGGTGTGTGTGTCGACTGTAAGAATATGCCGAGTATACTTTGCAAGGCATTTGATCTACGATTCGTGCTTTGCATCAAAATACCAAGTATGATGACACGTTTCTAATTTTCATTTGTTCAGATACATCAAAAATATGTGCGCAATGCTTACTATCATGATGACTGCAGATCGCCGCATGGTTTGTTTCGTCGTAGTATGTGCATCAAGATCTAAGTCGTCTACATCACCCCAATAGTCATCCTCTTCATCATATACCTCAGAGCTAGTCCGTTGCAAGCTGCCCATCATAATATCTCCATCGGCATCTTTCATGTCTTCGAATGAAGAAAATGCCAGCCCGCTTCTTCAGATGAGATCAATTTAATCTCTGTGATGTATTGCTGTCTCAGAGCATCGTGGTTTGCAGTGGGTTGTGACTTGTTGTCTTGACAAGAAGGATGCTTATTCAAAGCTTCAATAATTTCATCAGAACGGACAAGAAGATCTTCGGCAAGATGATGTCCGTGATATTTTTGGCACCTAAGAATTGATATGATGAATTGAGAAACACTCAGGTTGCACTCTTGTAGCATTGCAATCACTGTGTCCATAGTATAACAACGGGTGTAACAATAGCCAGGGATAAAAAATACATATCATATTCGAAATTTTGTAACCCTATGCTAGGTGCAAACTCATATTTTCGAAGTTTCACGGTCACCGTCACTGTGGCTGACCTTTGTTTACAAATGTTATCTTCCAGCCCCCGGTGAGAGTGTGAGGGGGAATAAGGTTGTGCTGGGTTTGAATTTTTCTTGTATCATGTGACTTATGAAACAGTACAATGCCATCAGATATCGCCCCTCCACACTCGAACTGTGGGGCTGGGAAGGAGCCTGAGATATTACCTGATTTAGACTGTTGTGTGCCACAACAATTGACACGTCACTGTCAGACCATCTCGGCAACAGCCGGACATGATAGAAAACATCTCGCAATGACATATCACCTATCTGCATGCTGTCAAAATAGGATTACTATGTAGTACATTGTATCTACATGATATATACAAGGTATTGCCCAGATTGCCCAGCAAAATTAAGTGAGTGTAAACAAAAGCTAAGTTAAAGTGCGCCATAGCCCTCCTCTGCAAGCAGGTCATCGTCAAGTTCCTCACCCTCACCGGCCAAAACTCTATTGTTGTCGTCATCCTGACCTATATCAGCCTCATTGTCAGTGCCGTCTTCCTCATCAACGCCGTCTTCCTCATCAATGCCATCTTCCTCGTCAATATCCTCTTCCTCGTCAGCATCCTCTTCGTCCTGCTCCTCCAAGTCTTCCAAATCCGACTCATCCCCTTGCATCTCAGAGTCTTCCTGTGGACTTGATTCAGTGTTGCATCCCCCACCTTGGAGGAATTCATCCCAGTCCTGCATGGCCTTATGACCAATCCCGCCCCCACGAAACCTCATGAATATATCACGGTCGACGAACCTGTAGAAACTACAATGAGACGTATAAGGAAAAAAAATAAGCACATACATGTTTACATAGTAATAGCGCCAGTCTGTATCAAGTTATTCCTCTTTGTGGACAAAGGACGGTCCAAGCAGTGTGTCGGTGCGACTGTAAGCAAATGCAGGGATAATGTGTACCCCGCGGATGATGGAGTCAGGGTCCAGGAATCCAAATGCTTCCCCGAGACTGTCTTGGTCAAAGAATTCCAAGCGCTGTAGGCATTTAGCAGCAAAGCCAGCGGGTGATCCGTCACGTCTGAACCAACGAACAAATAAAACATCCATGCATCTCAGTCATGAATAGTGTGACTTTTCGTTCTCGCGATATTCCACGTTGACATGAAATATCCTAATAATGCGGGCGTACCAGTAAGGATGTGTACGCTCGTCCTCTTCAGCGAGTACCATGACATCAGCATGAGTTTGGGGATTGCTTGTGTCTTGTTCGCATCGCAGATCATATGTTGTATAGTTGATACACAATGTGCTATGCTGGAATAGCTTGTTCTCACCAATGAGGACAGAATCGTGGTCTTCATCCAAAAACTCATATTCATCACCATTATATGCAAGCCCATGGAGGCGGCCAAGCAAATGGTCTTTGAGGCAAGGGATAAAGTTCTGGAAAATGCAATGAAACCCGAGTGAAATGTATATACAAAACGACGTACCTCAACCGCTGGATCATCTGCTAAATCAACTAACCAAGCTGTTAGATCGAAGCTTTCATGAGAGTACTTGGCGATATAGTAATGATCTGTTGGGGCAGTGCGGAGACGCTTAGGTCTGGGATTGGCCTTCTGCGCAACAATGATTTCACGTGCGGCAATGACTTTCTTCACCAAGCGTTCAATTGCGTCCTGAGAGGTCATACTGTGTGTTGTTTGATCCTTTTTCTTGGGTGTTTGTGGATACCAGCGCTTTGACAGGCGGTGTTCAAGCTCTCCCTGAGGGCACCTTAGAAGACGATATTAGATGGAATAAAATAGTACATACCAACTGCGAGTTAAAGCTATCTGTTGTACCTCTTCCGTGGATGGTGTTAGGGTAGTCGGCGAGCGCATGGTATTTGTAGGTGTTCAAATTCAGTCTCTTTACCTTTGGACCAGAGACGGTATGTGATGCTCCTGGTTGTTTTGAGGCGAGTGCAGCCTGTCGACGTCCACAGGCAGCATGTTCATGTGGAAGTTCCGTCATGTGGTAGTGTTTGCACACGGTGCGCTGAAATTTCCGAACGGACTGACCAAGAGCAACAGTTGCTGAATCAAAAAATGCAAGGGTGTTGTCAGTATGCAGGCGGAGTTTGGCATATGCATGCCATGCTGCGAGGTCGAAGAGAAGGTCCAATATAACCTTGTTATGGATACTCTTTTCCTTGTCCTTTGATTCCTCGTTGATGAGGATTCCTTCAAAGACAGGAAGAGCACACTAGTTTACAATATAATTAAATGAATAAATAAATGAGGCGAGTGTGAGTTCACCTGCAGGAGATCCTCAAAGTCTCGGGCTGCGAGACATTTCATTGCTGATGTGTTGTTGTGGAACCGACGGATGGTTCCCCGTCCAAATGTAGGTACTCTTTGATATCTGTAAAAAGCTGCATGAGCATAAGTATGACCACAATCCCTAAGTACATACCTCCAGTTCAGCTCCTGAACTGCAGCACCACCTGCCACAAAAAGGACACGCATAAGATGAATAAATATAGCCTTCCAAACCCCAAGTTCGAACTCATGCAGTAGGTCGACTACGAATAAGACAAAGAAATTGAAGAAGTATTCTGCGAGGCGCTCAGAGAAGGCATTCTACTAACAAATCAATCTTAAAAACTAATATCTTGTGAGGAATGACTTACCCGAGTGGGGACCAGCGACTCTTCATTCAAGATATTCTGGACGCGCTGACTATTGATACTAGCTCCCTGCTTGAACATTAATGCTCGTGCTTGTTCAACATGACAGCGTCATCAGTTCGTTGTCAGTCCACTGAGTCCTCTCACGACGTTTCATATCGAGTTTGGTGCCCATCATGGGGATATCAGATTTCTTGATGAGGCACCGTGGACACAGGCATTCACCAAGGAATTTTATACATGCAAGTAAGATCCTGATAGTAGAACTCAATTAGATACTGCAATCTGATGAAGGTCAATGACGAAACCTACTTTTCAGGGTAATCCGCGGAGTAACTGAAGAATCTGGGAAATACGCGCCGTGTGATCCCATCACCGCAGCGAATGACAATACCATATTTGTAGGCATGCATGAACTTCTCGTCGAGGAGAAGTGCCCAGATGGCCTGCATAAGCTCGCGCTTACAATGTGTATAGACATCAGTTGAGGATGCATCGGCAAAAATATTGAAATAGGTGTCTTGAAAGTCACTGGGGATCTGTTAAGATAAGTATCTGATGACATGTTATAAGACAGGACTTACAGATGGGATGTACGCCACATGGTGGCATGCAGAAGCTGTTGGTTTCCCTCTTGTGTATTTAGACTGATTGCTGAATAATAAGTAAAATGGCCAAAGTGAAGTGTCACCGAAGTTCGTAAGATGTGTGGCATCCGACCACATCATGAGGGAGGCAACAACACGTTCAAGGTCATCATCAGGTTCCCTAGGAAGAGAGTTGACTTCCTCGTAAGCGTCTGAGAAAGCAGGGGACGAGTATGCCTCAGAATAGACATTGACGGTGTGTTCCTGACACCTTCCACCGCTGTTGGAAGGGTGTCATGTGAAAGGTGGAGGCGACACTATCCTGGAAGACCAACGTAATGACGTCAGTGAGTGAGCGGTGGTAGACACCAGGTATCTCAAGCACAGGTGCTTCATCCTCTGATGGCCACTTCATTTTCTCCTTCAGCAGGCGGATTTGGACTGTAGACTCGCGCCAGCCATTTTCAGTGCGGTGACCTGCACCAAACAGGTTCGGTGCATGGACGACCAATACTCTCTCATGAGTCATATACCCTGAAATACCACTATGAAACCCTTTTCCCTTTTATCTGAAGTTGGACTGAGGCTATGGGAATATTTTTTGGCTTTTCTTTTTATTTTTCAAGTCTGTATGCCAGCAGCCTGAATATTTTAGTACATTTAATTCTGCGATGAGTTTTGCTTAGTCAGCCATGGTGATGACTCAGACAAAATCCCACACATGTCAGGTGACTGTGAAAAATATTTCCCACATATGTTGTCCTGGAAAAACATTAGTAAACCCCTAAATACTAGGCTCACGTCATTCTCACCCTTCAAACAAAGCAAAGCAAAGACAGCCACACACAGGATTCATATCATGTGACACTTCTTACTCTCTTTCTGGATTTGTCATCAGGGGTTGGACAGGTCACATGACTTAGCAAAATACCCAATGACTCACTATGACTCACTCTAAATACTTACTATGACTCACTATGACTCACCTTGCACATATGACTCATTATGACTCTTGATGACTCTTGAATACACTAGTAGCACAGCCACCTTTATTGTGTATATAATGACCCCAGTTTTTGAAATAAAAAAAAAGCAGATACCAGCAGGTAGTAGGGTGTTTCTCAGCCCAACTAACACTAAGTTGTGAAGTAAGGTGTGATAAGTGTCAGTACCAGTGTCAAGAACTGTTTCAAGACTGAGAGGAACATTCTCAAGAGACAGTAATACTGCAAGCTCATCATACTGAACGACCCGCTGTGAGCTCACTGTGTGCAACAACCAGCAAGCAAGGTACAGCCACACTTTTATTCTGATTTCTATTATTCTTTTTCTTTTCTTTTACTTTCACTGACCTTTGGTGTTCTTTGTGCAAAAAATACTGATCCAAAATATTCATGTTGTCTCTACGTCCACCTAAGACTCAGTAGTAGCATAGTGGGGAGACTTTAGGAATTGATAGTGAAGCTTGACCTCACTCATCTGAGTAGTGATACTGAGCCAAGATATTCTGTGCCTGCTAGGCTTTAGCCGTTGAAGAGGGGACTTGGTAGTAAACCCAAGGACGTCCGTTCCTGAGTCTGTTTGAATACTCAAAGAAGAGTTCCTTGACAGCAGGTTCAATATTGAGCTAAGAGTTCTACAATAAAGCACCTGACTAGTCTTGACCTTTGATTCTACCTGTTTTGTGCTGAGGGAGTTTATCATTGTAATTCCGCACCATTTCTTTTGGAGTATAGTTGGTATGAGGCACTGTTGTTGAAAGGGAACTTGAGGAAGAAACCTGTATATTCTTTTGGTCACTGCCATACTGTCGGGCTGACCATTGTCTGTTTGTTTTTCTGTCAAGTCCATAAATTGGATTGACCATCGTATTACTGATCTTGCAGAAGTATCCTTAGCTGAACATACCTTGGGTAGTATACAACTAGCCACCCACGATTGACCACATTATCAGTCATTGGTATTTGTCTGAATCGCTGACCGTGGAGATATTTGTTTTTATAGGTGTTTATCTATAGATCATCTATCTAAGAAGACAGCGGAAGGGGTTAGAGGAATCCTTCAGATAGACACTGGTAAGCCGCTTCTCATGTACGTCGTCATAAATCTGTGCATCCTCTCTCTTGTACTCATCATCGTCGAGGAAATTCCTTGTGAGGTGTTTCATCTCTGCATTCGACTTGGAATTAACCACAGAGTACTGCCAGCACATGAGGAGCCCCGCTGTCGGGCTACTGAAAGGAGAGAAAAGGTTGTCGGGCCGAATCTCTGGAGAAGGAAGTCCGGTCGCAATCTGAGAACTCCCGACACTAGGATCACGATCCAGGGTAGGAGCATCAACGGCTGCATCAAGACCTACATCACCCTTTGGTATCATGGTAGGACGTGCAGAGTAGATACGGAAAAGGCCCATCGCATCTGGAGCTGTTTGGTATGGCACGAGGGGGGGCTGATGAGGGATGCCTTCAGAGGCAGGACTATCTGGTGCTGGTGGTTGCTGGACCTCAATAGCTTCATTAGAAGGTCGTCCATGCTCCTGACGATTGGTTGGGGGCATGTGAGCAAGGTGAGTTGCCGAGCCTGGCACATAGTCGATGTAGGGTGCAGGCATACATATTCACTGCCCAGAACGGGCAGAGACAACAGCAGGCACATCTGGGGCAGGCGCCTGAGGTTCTGGTTCGGGAATATATTTGGAGGGTCCAGCAGCATTCCTGTACTATACACCTATCGTATAAGCATAATATAATTTAAGTATATCGAAAAAATTCACCTCAGCGTCGACATAGTCATCACCTAGGTCCATCCGCACATCAGCTTCAGGGGAAGTGTTCCTTTCCCTGCGTTCCAGAGACCTGGTCTCATCACGAACTCTCTTCTTCCTTCGCTTCTTACATCCCTTCTCGAGGCGACGTTGACTCTTGTAGACGTCAGCATCGAGAAGCTTGTCAGCTTCACACCAGGCCTCATGACCACTCAAGCGCTTTTGGGATGGGAAAACTTTTCTGCATCCTAGACAGACGAGGTCATCCATATAGATAGGTTGGCCAGGGCGAGCTGCATTGGAGCAAACGGCGTCCATCGAGCATGCCAGGGACGGGATTCACTATCTCAGACAATGATGTCAGGGAGCTGGAAGCTCAGAGCAGGTAAGGATATCACTTACATGCATCCCACACTCGATAAAAGAGATGCAGAGTTGACCGGTTCAGATTTAGGTTGATTAATGGATGGCAAGGCGTAAGACGTATAAGTAGTAGAGGAAGAGTGTTGTGATACTGGAGGTTTAATGGACGGCAAGGCATAAGACGTATAAGTAGTAGAGGAAGAGTGTTGTGATACTGGAGGTGAGAATGCAGATTGCGTAGTTTGGCGAGTGTATGCAGGCTGAGCTTGGTATTGATATGATGTAGTAGTTGTCGGAGGAGCGGCTGCGGCAGGTTGAGAGGCTTGTGATAGAGATCTCAGCTGGGTCAGGATTTGACGGAGCTCATCTTGAGAAACACATACCAAAAGTTGGCGGGCGTATAGTCAATATCTCTGGTAGTTTATTAGGGTTAGTGAGGGCAGACGGCAACTTGGACATTGGAAAAATGTACCAAAAGTCGGCGGGCGTATATAGTCAATGTCTCTGGTAGTTAGGGTTAGTGAGGGGGGTTGGCTACTTGGACATTGGAAGAACGTACCAAAAGTCAGCGGATGTATATAGTCAATGTCTCTGGTAAATGGCCTAGTACAAGAAACGAAGTCAGTACACATAGTAGGTAATAGGAACTGATATAAAAGTTAAAAGCTGTCAGGCTTAAGTGCTCAGAGTCACCTCTTAGAGGCATGTCCTCGCAGCCTGACAGCCTCTGGTCCAAGTCACCTCCTAGAGGTGTGTCGGACCAGGAAGTGAAGTGCAAATAAAAATAAATAAAGAACTCACCGGAGTTGTTGCGCTCGCTCAGACGGATGGCCCAAGGTTTAGAGTGATGAGTGGTCGATTGGTCGGGATGCATTTGCATGCGGCCATGTTGGAAGTGAATAAAACTGACTTTGTTGATTCAAAATCTTGGTTCCGAACATCACGTGACTTTTCGAAGTCAGTCGGCAAATACCGGTGATGCAAAAAGACGCGACTATGCATTTCTCATATTCATTTCTTATCAATACCACTAATCTTTTTCTCAATCCTATACTACTATGTCAACTGAATTCATCCTCGTTAATGGGACTGACCAGGTCATTATCCATGACAATGTCATTGTCATGGATATCAATAATCTTTTAACTGGTTGGCCGACTTACGAGATTAAGTTTACGCCCGAGAACCCGGGCCCATTGGTGAGTCATCTCGATCTTTTCATATTACTTACTGACTTTCATTTAGAAACTAATCATCCGGCTCAAGGATTTCGTCAAGATGGTCCATATTGAGGAATCCACCGATAGCGAGGCGGAGTTATTGATACCAGGCAGTCGCAAAAGGAAAAGGTGTGTCATTTTGTTCTGATCTTCTCACAAATAGATTGCTAACTCAATGTACAGGACTGATCGCGAGAGTAAGAAAATCAAAACATGAGTTGGTCTTGCACGTCATATTCACTAACATTAAACTTCCTAGGTTCTCGGCCGATACTGTCAAGATCACAGAAGATCTCGGACAGCCTCAAGATCACATCCCAGAGTTCCGGGTGAGTTTTTCTTATATTTACTGGCTCATCACGCTGACAAATTTTGATTTACAGAAATAACTCCATCAAAGCGAAGCCAGTGCGCTTGTTGGGAGCCCGCCCAAATCCTCAGCCGCGCAAACTCAAATTCGACAGCAGTACTACTTGGCCGCCCCGCCACCCTCTCCGTTTCAGGGACGTGGAAGATAAGGATTCCATTGCCGGTCTTATCCTGCAAGCCGTGCCTGCTCCTGTTAAAGCTGACTTAACTTAGGTTATTTTTCTTTGCTGTGCGTTTTTGCTATCACATTTGTTATTTTGCAGTCTGTATACGATAAGTACTACTTTGTAATTGTACAATTAAATGTATTTCTTGTTGCACCTCAATATGATGATAACACGTCAACAGAACCAAATAAAACATGTACAATAACACGTGAATGCCCTATGTGACTTTGTAACTCTGACCACTATGGCGCATCGCAAACAATCCCCCAGTCTCTCTCAATCCGAAAAATCCTCTTTGAGCGATTCAGAAGATTCACGACACTCTCCAAGTCCAAGACACAAGAATTCGAAAAAACGCGCCCAGTCAGGCAGATCTGTTCAAGGCAAAACAAAGTACGTGACACGTTGTGATTCTCTTGATGCTTACACGACCTCTACTCTAACAGGAAAGTTAATGTAACTCAAGACACTGATGATGACCTAGATGAAGAGTATTTCGTGGCTGCACGTGCCATGACGCGTTGCTATGACCTGTTCTGCAAGGTCGAGAAGCTCATCAAGATCGGGTGTCTTTTGCAGCAAGACTGAGGCCGCCGACCAGGGAGATCTCGAGGAAGATGAGGTCGACAAAGTGTCTCGTAAAAAGAGGCTTGAGGGCCTGTAAGTGTTATTCATTGGTAGGCTGTATACCGCTGATCTATTGTTTTAGTTCAACTTATGTATGTACGTGATCGTTACAAACAGAATTATCATCAACTTCTTCAACTCGCTCCCGGCTTGCGAGCGCTCATCAATAACAAGAGCAAGTCAAAGCAACTTGCTAGAATCGCGCGAAAGGTCAGTTTATACTGCATATATGCACACTTATGATGTACTAACACTTCATAAAGATGAATGGTATTATTAGTGCGACGCGGTCTGATGACTCGACCCGTCTCAAGTCACAAATCAGTCATTATGCGGCTCCCTCGCCGGCCAAGGAACCCTTGAGCCCACCTGTAAATAACGGTACCTCATCTAGGTCGCACATGGGTGTTAATCACCCCGTATTGGCTTCGTTTCTTTGTCCTATAACGGCAGTCAAAGATTACCACCAGGATCCAGCAGAGTAAGTGGTATTTTGCGCTTATATGCGATTCTGAGGTTCTGTATTTTAGGATGCAAAAAAAATTGGCAAGCGGACAGATCTTGATGTCCGCAGCTGATTTTCCTGCATATCTCTGGGAGGGAACTCCACCCGGGGAAAGCTACAACGATGATTCCATGACTGATGGGCTTTTCAAAGGGTATTTTCTTGTCCATGTAAGTTTTCCGCTGTATACTTAACGTGTCAATATCATACACTTATTGTATATATTAGATCATGCGCCATATATTCACAGGACTGTCTACTGCCTTAGGTGAAGACTCATGTGCAACGCGTTCATGCAACGCTTCATTACACGATATGACTACGGTCCAACCAGAACACATCGCTTATGCATGTGTTCAGGTAAGTGTCTCTGTGTGCTTGACAATGTTATCTCACAATTATTGCTATTGAGGCTCGCTTCAGGATTAGCAGCAAGAATAAGTGGGCCGAAAGTCGACGGTAAATTCAACTATCGAGAGTTCTACCAGAACATTATCGATTTTCTTCGAGAATGCGAAGATAAGGATTGGGTAGACAGTCTCCTAAAATGGTGGAATAGGTACGTGATTTTGATTTTTTTCATGATTATGATACTGAGTGTTTCTGGAAGGAAACTGTTCAAGACTGAACATGGACGGGAAGGTGCAGTTGATGAAGCCTCCACTAATGATTCTAGCAGGGGCTCCACTGCACCAATGGACAGCCTCTCCAAGATGTGGGCACAGATGTCCGCTCGTGCTAGTGCCACCAAGAACTTAGGGGGAGATCGTGTTCGTGATCCTCCCAGTTCTCCCACACCTCATACTGCTTCTCGGGATCGTTCTCACTCTCCTCTTAGGCATTCTCGTCATCCTCGTGCTCGTTCCCCTGCTCCCCGGATCCACTCTCCTGTGCCTCGTGGACGTTCTCCTACTCCTGCACATGGTAGGAACTCTCCTGCTCCCCGAGGATGTTCTACTACACTCCTCATATTTGTTCTTCCTCCCCCCGCAAGCATGTTCGTCCTCGTCCAATCCCGCCTAAACGGGCTGCTCCTGCAGTACCTGATACTGTCACAGGCCTTTCACCACCTCGTCACTCTCATTCCCCAACTCCTTGTCATCCCCATTCCCCAACTCCTCGTCACCCCCATTCCCCAACTCCCATTCTCCTACCCCACTTCGTCGCACATCCCCACGCAAGATAGGCACTCCACCCCATCAGCCTCATTCTCCGACTCCACCTCGACGCCCTCATTCCCCAACTCCCCCTTGTCATCCTCGTTCTGCGACTCCACCTCGACGCCCTTGTTCCCCCACCCCACCCCATCGTACATCCCCACGGAAGAACGGCACTCCACCCCGTCATACTCGTTCTCCCACCCCAATCTGTTGCACGTCCCCACGCAAGAAAGGTCCTACTGTTCCTTCTTCACCTGGATTAAGTGAGTTGATGCAGGAGGATGAAGATGAGGAACTCGAAGTCAGTACCAGTAAGAAAGGGAAGTTGGCTGGGAAGAAAGCCAAGGTCACAGCCAAGGCTGTGGGGAAAAGGAAGCGTGCCGTGGAATCAGATGATGAGCAGCCATCTGAACCTGCTTGACGTCCCAAATGGCAAGCGCGCCGCCGGAAGTAGGTGTTTTCTTCTAAGGTATGTCTCTGTTATATTGTAGACTGTAACTGATGTTCACCCTGCTTTGATCGATAGTATTCTGGTGTTCTCATCTCGCATTGCTCTCAGGACATTTACTCCTCCATGCTTTCATTTTGATGCTCTCGTGTTCTGGTGCTTCATGTCGCATTTCTCTTTACCACTGATGAAGTTGACCATTTGTACTCACGCTCCCCGGCTGCCTAGTGTACTTTACAGATACCTACACAGTATCTGGATACTATGACTCAAGTTTCCTTACATTCCGTCGCATAGCAATACTTTGTACTCTCATTACTGCAGACAATACCATGCAATGTCTTCGCTATCTGCTTGACTGTTAATGTCTGACAATATCTGAAATAACTATATGAAATATTAAGTCGTGTGCTCCTCTACGACGTACAAGCACTCAGTCCGTCGGACTTTTCAGTTCCCTAGTATTGCAAGATATACTGGGCTCTGGACCCGATACTGCTGACATGGTAGTCACCGAAAACATTACCATATATTGCCAGGTCTTGGTCATGCAATTTTTGTGATGGTGTTGTACCCAAGTGGCATGACACAACGTCAAATTGATTTGTAATCCGGCTAGATTCGTCAACCGTCCCGATTGCGCTCGTACTCTCCATCGACATCAATCATTCTTCGAGTTTCCCAAGCATGAAGCTGGGGGACTCTGCTTGTCTAAAATAAATCTGGTAGGAAATTAATTTAACCACAATTTTTTATTATTTGGTTAGGTTCAACAACATTGAAGATATAAAATATAATATTTTGCAATATGTTCACCCACCTTCAACCAATCTAGCATTACTATCGTAATGTCTGTGAACCGACGCAGCATGGGTTTCCGCCACTGATTAGTAAAAAAGCATCTGATAAGCCTATCAGTGTTATTAATAAGAGGTAACACACAGGTGAAGTAATTTACGAGAACACGGCCATAAGGTCAGGTCGACACTGACAACGACATTTTCTAAAATTGACAAACCCTGAAGGTGATTTGATTTTGTCCACTGGTGTGCGGATATTGATCTAAAACTAGTTGAGCAGGGAAGCGCCTTGAATGTTCTGAACGACACTGCAACTTGCAATGTACGCAAGGTGCATGACCCATAGCCTCCTGTTTACGTATATAACCTACTTGCGACCGTAACCGTGACTCAGCTTTCTCCAAGTACAACGGGAAGGCATGAAGGACAGCCAATAGCAACTACGAATCTCCCAGTACGCAACTTGAACGCTCAGGAACGGCTTCGTGGAGAAGCCGACTATCTGGCAGGTCTGATTCAAGCGCCATCATGTGTTTCAACAGCAGCTAAGAACTTCCCAGCACGCAACTCGAACGCCCAGGTAATTCGGTTCACGCAGAAGCCGGCTGTCTAGCAATCTGATGCAAGGGTCATCATGTGCCACCGCCTTATCGAATGATTAGGATCTCCAGCGTCAGGTACCGGGGCACGAAGGAGATGCTGGCTGAATCGCAAAACAAGGAAGGAGGTACAACCTATGCAATCCGAAACATATAAAAGCCTCCTTGCTGAAACTCTAACGCAGAACTCAAGCTCTTCAATCCACACTCAATCTCAACCACCAGTACACTTTGTATTTCGCAATCCGAAGCAATGACAGCCGGGCCCTTCGTCAGGAACTTGACCTTCCAGTCGTGAGTGTTCGCGATCTCGCTCTGCACAAGTTTTTTCACCCGACATTTCGCAGTCACGATCTCGGCAAGGAGGTCACGATCATGCTCGCTTGGAGTCCCAACATGGATGGCCTCTACGAGGACGTCTTCCCGATAGTTTGGAAGTAAGTGCGCCTACTCATGTCTTGGACAATGTAAAACCTTGCGATTTTTTCAGAGTCAGCAAATTCGGAAAGTCGGGTGGGTGTTTCTAGTATTCTCTCGCTGCCAAGTTCCCGACTTACATATGAGCCCTCTTTGCAGGTCCATACAGGGCTACTGCGACCTACACGGCCCAGTAAGATGATCGACAATATCAATAGTCTTAGAAGTCGCTTATATATCGTATAGGCTTGCTTTCTCCAGAGCTCAGGTCGAGAGTGGGAAGGTCATCAGCGCTGCAACCTCCGTCAATATCAATGTGAGCGACTCTTCATCTACTCCGAAATTGCTAGCACCAACGCAACCGATGATGCAGAACAGCGAGAAAACAACTCTGACAGAAGCCAACGATGTCTATCATTTCTCTGTAAGCCTGGCTTCCGTTGATTTTCATCTCGGCCATTGACGAATACCTCGTGTAGCCCCCTCAGGCGGGAACCTCTGGCATTCTGCAGGCCCAGAACCACACTGGGAGTGTTCAAGAAATAGCAGTTGGTTTGTGACCATCATGATATCCTCTTCTTTCACCTGAGCATATTGTCCACCTCCAGGCTTCGTAAACAGAGGAGACTTTATGCCCACGCCCGTACTCTACTTCAGCGATGTTGGGTATGTCATATTTCCTGTATTTCTCCTTCAGAGCGTTCACACTATCAAATGCAGAGATGGCAGTCGCGTCACGGCAAAGTTCACTCCGGTCCTGCGGGCCTACATCACGTCGGACTATGAAGAAACCTCAATCTTACGAGGTCAAGTCGACACCCCTGCGATCTGGTCGCAGGACCTGACTGGGCTTGGTCAGAACACAACCTGGAACCTCTCGCGCGACGCGTCCACCGGACGTTACACGCTCACCCATGCTTGATTAAGGAATGGGACATTGGTGCACCTAGATATTCGTTCTGTGATATCTGCATCTCAATGTTTACTGTGGTTTCATAGTATCTCCGTTCAAACCAATAGCCTCGCTTAGTTGCTTGTCTCTTTATAAGATCGCTTGTATGTCATGTATTTCGCCAGGAATGAGAGCTGTAGAAGTTCTTATGGAGCTTTATCTATTTGTTTGAAATCTTGAATCGTGTTTGACAGGATCTCTGAAGTGTGCATGTCAAGATGTTAGTTTGTAAAGCCGAACATTGACGCTCCACTCGACAGTGGTTAGTCACTTGTGATGCATGCAGCGTTTGTGTGATTTTGAGATTGTTGTTGAACTTCGTCTGATTACCAGTAGACAGGGGTTATTATTTATGGTGATCGGTCGCGTGCTCAGCTATAGTACCCTCGACGAGCCTGACAAAACCCTAATTGCAAGATCTGCACGGTACACAAAGTCAGACCGTTTGATATCGAAAGAAGCAAGACACTGACTCGGCCGTGAAGTTCTGCTCTACTAGTAGTCATCTCATTACACCGGCGATGATGGAGTTTTGGGAGTGGAGAGGTCGTTGAAATGTTGTCTGAGATCGAGCTGCTTGCTATTAAGGAGCCGAGAAGGAAACAAGGGAAAAGGCCGCGCAAGAACTTGCCGGCTTTGAATGCGTGGAAGAGCGATGCGCCCAAGGAGGACGTGGAGGACATGTATGAGTTCGGCCAGTGGGGTTCTGCTAAGTCGCAGCCAAAATGTTGGAAACAAGACTCAGAACGGACAGCTGTCACAGGGCTGGATGATTTGCTGGATGTCAAGACACCGGGCGAAGATCAACTGGAATTCCAATAGTGTATTAACCTACACAATGTTTTTATAATCAACGAGGCGAGGTGGGAGTGTGTTACTCCAATGAATGACAGTAGAGTTGGAAGATAATGGATGATAGCAGGTACACTTGCAAGGACTGAAGACGATATCTGTATGCACGTGAATGTAATGTCAAGCTGGTGGGTGAGGGTGCATATAGGGCACAGAAAAAGATAGTGGATATACGGTAGCATGTTATGTATGTTTCACTTCCTGTTGCGAGATTTACAAACGCGAGGTTGTGGGGGCGATGGCAGACTGGCACCAAGGCCATGGATGGGAACACAGTCCGCGTCAATTTGATCGCACTTATCCATCAAAAGATTATAGATGAACAATTGTTCGTACCTGCAGAGACATAAATATGAATTGACAAGGACATCATCGGAACGCGCACCGAACATTTTCCAGTGTAAACACGACGGTCATAGATTATGGATTGCACCTCAGTAAGTTCGGTGCCATCACCAGCGCCAAATTCGCCGTTACCATCTCCATCGCCGCCTGCACCTTCTTCCCGAAAAAGAACTGCAAGAGGCTAGCTGATAAGGAAATAATGGTGGTCCGTCTGTTTATCGTGGGCAGACGTCTAACGAGCTGTGTGCATATTTCAGCTTCGCGAGAATGCGTAATTTAATCGTCGTACATCTCTTCAGGCATCAATATGTCCCATAGCTCACGCAACCAGGGCTTGAGTAACGAAGCTAGAACATGCGAATCATCTACGCTGCCAAGCGTATAATAGTCCCTATCAATATTAACGTCTCCCCTCTCTCCCTCCGTACGGAGGTAAATTGCACAAACGCAAGCTCTGATAACATAGAGCTCAGTATTTTAAATTCAGAGATCCTGCACACAAACGTACCAGGTGGATCCCAGCTCACTTGTTCAGTCACAGGGCGCATGAAGAATACAATGTTAGTTTGTATAAGTGCGTTCTAAGCATGAAATCATTAATGATTGAGAAAAGATGAATACCTGCAGGTTCACCAAAGTCACATAAAAATTGGAGCTCCAACTCGCATGATCCGCATCTAGTACACGGCAGAAACTTCCTGAATGAAGACTGCTCACGGGCTCGCCATTTGGCATATCCATGGTATTTTTATTGATCTTGGCATCTAGAACTGCTGCAGAGGCAGCCCTGTGCCTGTCGACATTAGCTATAGCTAGTGGGATGTTCGACGAATGATTGATGTCTGAGTACGAGCGTGGCAAGCGGGACGGTTCAACACGAATCTAGCCTGATTACAAATCAATTTGACGTTGTCTCATTTGGGTACGATACAATTTCATGACTTTTACGTTCTGCTCTCTGCTTGTATAAACCTCCAGCCAACGATAACTTTTGATTGGACATCAACGCAAACGAGGACACCATGTAAATGCACCACGATCAGCATAATCGCCAGCAAGAATTCACCGGTCCACTGATTGGCACGCTTCAACACATCACATATGTGCTCTTTTTCTCTTGTTCTCCATACGTTCAAGTGCAAAGGCTCGCGAAGACAATAGTGCTACTGGTGCTACCGTACTTGGAAATGTCTTTCCTCAACGATGCCAAATATTCCATTGTGAAAGCTGTCAGCATAGTTACGAAGATTGTTCCTAGGTATCTAATATGATATATTGCTTTAAATACCCTTATCATTTGTTCACCGTTTCACTGATGGTGCGATTCAGATGTTCAGATGCGAGAGTTAAGAACGTTGAAATTTGAAACGTTGAAAGACCATGTTCGTGGGATCAAACACCGACTCGGAATCCGGATATGTTGCGAGTTTTTGACAGATTACACTCTACTTCAGCGATGTTGGGTATGTCGTCTTTTCTCTATGTTCCCTTGACAAAATGCAGAGATAGCCATCGCCTCACGGCAAAGTTCACTCTCCGGTCCTGTGTCCCTAGTACCTACATCAAGTCGGACTATGAACAGACCACGATCTCACGAGGTCAAGTGGACACCCTGCGATCCGGTCACCAGTCTATGTGCAGATAGGCTAACGCTATACATCCACAAGTGTTCGTGACGCGCTGAGTATTTTATTTCAACGCTTTTACCGATGAAGGTGATTCACCTTTGTTCGCTGATGCGACCTTACTTTAGAACTACGGGCGAAGCGCCTTGAACGTTCTGAACGACACTGCAACTCGGCGAAGTCAAGTTTACGTGCCGGTCAAAGCTTCAAGCACGGCCAGATTCAGTATCTCGCAGCTCTGAGCCGTTTGACTGACATTTGACTTTGACAGTTGATTCGCTCAGACTGAATGCGGGCCGACAGCGCCAATCACAACTATAGCAAAAATATATTGCAGTCGCGTGTGCGAAACATCCCATGGCCCATGGACTCCTCATGATTCCCCGACCAATATAGGTCCACTAATTTGATTACAATGTCATCTACCTTAACAGGCAGATCAAATCCCAGTATTTGGTACTCGGTACTAATCCACTTGTGACGTTATGAAAAGAGCACAAAAGAAAGGTACGAAGGACAGCCAACCGTTCCTCGGCGCGTAACTTCAACGCCCAGGGAAATCGGTTCGTGCAGAAGCCGGCTGTCTGACAAGTCAAGGGCCATCATGTGCTATCACCTTGTTGAATAATGAGGGTCTCCAGCGTCAGGTACCGGAGGATGAAAGAGACGCTGGCTAAGTCGCAAACCAAGGAAGGTGGTACAACCTATGTGAGCCGAAACATATAAAAGCCTGCTTGCTGAGACTCTAATTACAGAACTCGAGCTCTTCAATCCACACTCAATCTCAACTACTACTACACTTTGTGTTTTAACGACCAGAAACAATGTCACCCCGACCCTTCGTCAGGAATTTGACCTTCCAGTCGTGAGTGTCCATGATCTCGCTTTGCACAAAATTTTCACCCGACGTTTCGCAGCAACGACCTCGGCAAGGAGGTCACGATCATGCTCGCTTGGAGTCCCAACGTAGATGGCCTCTACGAGGACGTCTTCCCGATAGTGTGGAAGTAAGTGCGCCCACTCGTGTCTTGGACGATTTAAAACTTTGCGATTTTTTCAGAGTCAGCAAATTCGGAAAGTCCGGTAGGTGTTTCCATTCTCTTGCTGTCAGGTTGCCGACTTACATATGATCCCTCCTTCTAGGTCCATACCGGGCTACCGCTACCTACACGGCCCAGTAAGATGATCGACAATATCAATAGTCTTGGAAGTCGCTTATATATCGTACAGGCTTGCTTTCTCCAGAGCCCAGGTCGAGAGTGGGAAGGTCATCAGCGCTGCGACCTCCGTCAATATCAATGTGAGCGATTCTCATCCATTCCTACATTTCTAGCACCAACGCAAGCCATGATGCAGAACAACGAGAAAACAACCTTGACAGAAGCCAACGATGTCTATCATTTCTCTGTGAGTCTGGCTTCCGTTGATTTTCATCTCAATCACCGACGAATACATCGTGCAGACTCCTGAGGCGGGAACGTCTGGCATCCTGCAGGCCCAGAACCACACTGGGAGTATTCAAGAAATAGCAGTCGGTTTGTGACCATCATGATCTCCTCTTCTTTCACCTGAGAGTATTGTCCACCTCCAGGCTTCGTAAACAAAGGAGATTTTATGCCCACACCCGTACTCTACTTCAGCGATGTTGGGTATGTCATATTTCTTGTGTTTCTCCTTCAAAGCGTTCACACTATCAAATGCAGAGATGGCAGTCGCGTCACGGCAAAGTTCACTCCGGTCCTGCGGGCCTACATTACGTCGGACTATGAAGAGACCTCTATCTTGCGAGGTCAAGTCGACACTCCTGCGATCTGGTCGCAGGACCTCACTGGGCTAGCTCAGAACACGACTTGGAACCTCTCGCGCGACGCGTCCAGTGGACGTTACACGATCACCCATGCTTGATTAGGGGATGCAACATTGGTGCGTCTAGATATCCGTTCTGTAATATCTGCATTTCAATGTTTACTGTGGTTTCATAGTATCTTCGTTCAAATCAATTGCCTTACTAAGTTGCTTATAGATTGCTTGTCTGTTATGTATTTTGCGAGAGTTGAACGTTGTAGATCTTCTTCTTATGGGGTTTTAAAATCTATGTGTTTCAAATCTTGCACAAGATGTCATGCTTTGTGAAACCGAACATCAACGCTCCACCTGACGGCAGTTAGTCTTGATGCATTTTGAGGACATTTTTATTGTAGTTGTTGAATTTGTCTAATTACTAATTATAGACAGGGGTTATTATTTTATCTCAAGTGAACATGTGATCGGTCGTGTGCTCAGGTAGCCTGACAAACCCCAATTGCAAAATTTACACGGTACCACGAAGTCAGGCCGCTTGATATCGAAGGAAGCAAGGTACTGACCTAAAGTTCTGCTCGAGTAGCTAGTCATCTCACTTGATTACACCGGCAGTCGCGATGGAAACGGAGTCCATTCCTCATACGGCTTTAGTCAAAGCGGTGAATTATGACGGTACCGTCCACCGGTCATTCTCTTCTCTAGACGCCGATGTTGTGCTCGGCGCCAAAGATCATACTCTGTTCCATATCCACTCATGGACACTCAAAACGACATCGGGCTGGTTCCGATCGCTCTTTTCCATGCCTCAACAAAACCCTCTTCCGAATCACCCCGAGCTCATCAATCTAGACGAGGACTCGCACACACTAGAGAGTCTCCTGCTTATGATCTCCGGTCTGCCGATAAATCCACTCACATCGTATGACGAGGTCGATGCATTGTTATTCGCTGCAGAAAAATACGAAATGCCAGGGCCTATCTCCCTCATACGCGTGCTCATCATGACGCCCCCGCTCCTAGACCAGCCTCTGCGTCTGTATGCAGCCGCAACCCGTTGTGGATGGGAAGAAGAGGCCAGACATGCATCCGTGCAGTCGCTTGCTCTCAACATCTACGCAGAGGAACATCAACCTATTCTCAGAAAGCTGCACACGGGCGCTGTGCTTGACCTGATGAACTTGCATCGCAATCGACGCGAGGGCATCCGCCAACGACTCAATGAGCAGCCGTTCGTGACAGGAAGCACGACAGCGTCTTGCCCGAGGTGCAGATGGAAGGTTGACCATCGTACGTGGAGAGAGCTCAAGTATAGAATCGTGATGGAGATGGATGTACGACCGTTAGGAGACACGGTCGTCGATGTGGGATTGACCGGTTGGCCTGAGGCGATCGCGTGTTGGGATGCCAGGTGTCCGAATACTGAGTGCACGTCCATGTTGTACGACAAGGCCGAGACTTTGCGTCTCATTCGCGACTGCATCGACGGTCTTCCTAAGACGACGTGAAACGCAGTAGTGTACCATTAGACACAATATATCATCATAGATAGGTTAGTCGAGCAAATGCTAATTGCTATGTTTCAAGAATGACCAATTTTGGTCAAATTAGGAATATCTATACTCATTCATGCTCGTCTACCATCGAGTCTCCAATTATGCAGGTGCAAGTCTTGCAAGGGCAGCCGCACGCTGCCTGACATCCTCTGCGACGCTTTCAGAGAGCAGCAGCAGCAGCAGCACGCAACCAGACTCCATTTTTACTGCCAAAGAATCTCCTTGGGACCACATATTGGACGACTCAATAAAAGAGATGCCACCTATCCTCCCCTCCCCAGTCGGCAATGACTTACGCGTTGGCGGCGTAGAAACCTCAGGACGCACCCGCGCACGCAGACAAGCGATGACCGCCCGCGAAATCAGCGCCTTCGACGAAATGTTCAACATGATCTTTGACGCAGTCTCAGAGCAAAAGAACCCCTCCGCCAAACTCTCCTCCTCAAAACAAGAAGACCCGCTCGCTGTTCTCAATGGAATGGGAATCGGTCGCAAGCCATTCGGTCACGCCCCAACGTCAGATTTATTCGGCAAACTCAGACGATACTCGAAACGGTTGAGATGGACAACGGAGGCAGATGAGGAATTTGATAAGAAGAAGGAGGAAATGGAGCTTTGCGATACGGATAAGCAGCTGCTTGAATGGGCTACGCGCGAGGTTTTTGGGCAGTCTCAGCAATACGGGGAACGCGCGCGGAATGCTATTGCTAAATCCGAGGAACAACATCAGCACGCTCCAGGCCTTACCCCACCCTCGAATGCAAATGCAAATGCAAACGCAAACGCAAACGCAAACGCAAACCCACTGCCACAACCAGCGTCTATGCACCCTGAACTCCAACACCCGACTTACCCATACCTCATTGCGCACCTCATGCGCTCTTTCCGTGATAAATACCGTGATCCCCACCTCGCTCTCTCCATCTTCGACTACGCCCGGCACTTAAGTATCCCAAGCTACGTATTCGGATGCACCACTCCCGCATACAACGAACTGATAGAAACCCGCTGGTCATGTTTCCACGACCTCAGAGGCGTGCATGACGCCCTCGAAGAGATGCGCGTCAATGGCGTCGAGCCGGATGGCAGAACCAAGAAACTCGTCGAAAAACTAAGGCGCGAAGTAGGCGCGCGCACGATTTGGGAAGAGGAGTCTGTGTTTGGGAGCGGAGAAGTCGTCGGGATGTTGTCTAAGATTGAGCAGCTTACTATTAAGGAGCCGAGAAGGAAACAGGGGAAAAGGCCGGGTAAGAAATTGCCGGCTTTGGATGCATGGAAGGGCGATGCGCTCAAGGAGGACGTGGAGGACGGGTATGAGTTCGGCCAGTGGGGTTCTGCCAAGTCGCAGCCAAAACGTTGGAAACAAGACTCAGAACGGACAGCTGTCACAGGGCTGGATGATTTGCTGGATGCCAAGATGCTGGGCGAAGATCAACTAGAATTTCAATAGCGTATTAATCTATACATTTTTTTATAATCAACGAGGCGAGGTGGGAGTGTGCTACTCCAATGAATGACAGTAGAGTTGGAAGATGATGAATGATGGGAAGTACACTTGCAAGGACTGAAGACGATATCTGTATGCACGTGAATGCAATTTCAAGCTGGTGGGTGAGGGTGCATAGGGTACAGAAAAAGATAGTGGATACACGGTATCATGTCAGGCATATTTCACTTTCTGTTGCGAGATTCACAAACGCGAAGTTGCGGGGGCTATGGCAGGCTGGCACCAAGGCCATGGATGGGAACACAGTCCGCGTCAATTTGATCGCACTTAGCCATCAAAAGATTATGGGCGAACACTTGTGCGTACCTGCAAAGACATCAAAATGGATGGACAAGAACATCATCGGAACGCGCACTGAACATTTGCCAGTGTAAACACGACGGTCATAGATTCTGGATTGCACCTCAGTAAGTTCGGTGCCATCGCCAGCGTCAGATTAGCCGTAGGTTCGCGAGAATGCGCAATGTTGTCGTTGTACACCTCTTCAGGGATCAATACGTCCCATAGCTCATGCAACCAGAGCTTGAGTAACGAAGCAGGACATGCGAATCATCTATGCTGTCAAGCGTATAATTGTTCCTGTCAATATTAATGTCTCCCCTCCCTCCGTACGGAGGAAAACTGCACAAACACAAACCTTGAGAACATAGAGCTCAATAGTTGAAATTGAGATATCACACACCAGCTGGTGGATCCCAGCTCCGAGTCACTTGTTCAGTTGCAGGGCGCGTGAAGAATAAAACTCTGGTTTTGCATAAGTGCGTTCTAAGCATGAAGTCATGGATGATCGAGAAAAGATGAATACCTTCGGATCCACTAAAGTCACCCAAAAATTGAAGCCCCATCTCACGTCCTCCGCATCTACACGGCGGCAAAAACTTGTTGACAAGGACTGCTCACGGGCTCGCCATTGACGTTTACCAGAAGTCCCCGTGGTGTTTTATCTGTCTTTGTATCTAGATCCGCTACAAAGGCAGCCTTGTGCCTGTCGACATTAGCTATAGTGAGATGTTCGAGATTGATGTCGATTTGAATTCGAGTACGGACGGTTGACGAATCTAGCCGGATTACAAATCAATTTGCATGTCACAATACAAAGTTTCACTGCCTCAACCGACGGTGAGGACACCATATAGTTACCAGCAAGAATTCACCGGTCCACTGACTGGCACGTTTCAGCATGTGCTCTTTTTCTCTTATCGGGTTCTTGATACGTCTAAGTGCAAAAGCTCGCGAAGACAATAGTCTTGCTACTGGGGCTACCATACATGTAAATGTCTTTCCTCGACAATACCAAGTACTCCATTGTGGAAAGCGGTCAGCAGATTTACGAAGATTGTTCCTAGGTATCCAATACAATATATTGCTTTAAATATCCTCATCATTTGTTCACCGTTTCACTGATGGATGGTGCGATTTAATGTTCAGATGCGAGGGAGTTGAAACGTTGAAAGACTATGTTCCTGGGATCAAATACCGCCTCGGAATCCGGATATGCTTGATCCTTGGTGAGTTTTTGACAGCTCAACAAAGACGCTGGTTGATGCCCATTGCACCGGGCCCTACACTCTACTTCGGCGATGTTGGGTATGTCATCTTTCCTCTGTGTCCCCTTGACAAAATGCCGAGATGATAGTCGCCTCACGGCAGAGTTCACTCTCCGGTCCTGCGTCCCTACATCAAGTCGGACTATGAACAGACCACAATCTTACCAGGTCAAGTGGACATCCTGCGAACCGGTCGCAGGACCTCACTGCGCTTGCCCAGAATACCACTCGCGATCTCAGATTTCGCACCCGGCGCGGTCACTGGACGTTACACGACTGTCCATGCTTGATTAAGGAATGCGACATTCGTGTGCCTAAATATCTGTTGCATAAGGTCTCCATCCTAATGTTTACTCTCCTTTCATAGTATCTTCGTCCAAACCAATGGCCTTACTTAGTTGCTTGTCTTTTTCGTGTGTCTTGTGTTTTGCAAGAGTTGAGAGTTGTACCGTTTTTATGGGGTTTATCTATTTGTTTGAAATCAAACGAGATATTCGTCAGTGGTCGAGATGAAATAAACGGAAGCCAGACTTACAGAGAAACGATAGACATCTGTAAGGGTTGTTTTCTCGCCGCTCTGCATCATGGTCTGCGTTGACTCTAGCAATTTCAGATTAAATGAGGGTCACTCACATTGATTATGTTCACGGAAGTTTCAGCGCTGATGGCGTTCCCATTCACGGCCCGAGCTCTGGAAAAGCAACGCTATACAGTGAATAAGTAACTTTCAATGCTATTGTTCTCGTCGATGATCTTACTGGGCTGTGCAGGTCACGGTAGCCTTGCATAGACCTGGAAAGAGGAGTCATATGTAAGTTGGCAACCTGGCAGTAAGAGTTCAAACACATAGACGAAATACATGACATACAAGCAATATCATAAAAAGAATAAGGAACCAATTGGAGCCATTGGTTTGGATAAAAATGCTATGAAAAAAGAGAAAACACTGATGCATATCCCACAGAATAAACATCTAGGCGCATCGATGTCGCATTCCTTAATCAAGCATGATCGATCGAGTAACGTCCAGTGGTCGGGTCGCGCGCGAGGTTCCAAGTCGTGCTCTGGGCAAGCGTAGTGAGGTCCTGCATCCACATCGCAGGAGTGTCGACTTGGCCTCGTACAATATCGGTCTCTTCGTAGTCGGACGTGATGTAAATGGGCAGCACCGAAGTGAACTTTGCCGTGACGCGACTGCTATCTCTGCATTTTATTGTGAACGGTCTGGAGAAGAAATTCATGAAAGACGACATACCCAATATCGCTGAGGTAGAGTACGGGCGTGGGCATAATGCCTCCTTTGTTTACAAAGCCTGGGGGTGGAAAATACACTAAGGTGAAAGAAAAGGAGACGGCGATCGTAACAAACTAACTGCGATATCTTCAATGGGCCCAGTGTGGTTCTGGGCCTGGCCGAGGTCGTTGCTGCGAAACGACAGCAACTCGGATGAAAAATTTATGGAGAACGAGATCACAGACACTCACGACTGGAAGGTCAAATTCTTGACGAAGGACCGGGGTGATATTGTTTCAAATCGTTAAACACAGAGTGTGATTGAGTATGGATTGAAGAGCTTGAATTCTGCAGTTAGAATCTCAGCAAGGAAGATTTTATATATTACGAGTTACATAGTGGGGAAAAGTAGGCTGTACCTCTTTCCTTGGTTTGCGATTGAGCCAGCGTTTGCTTCGTGCTTTGGTACCTGACGCTGGTGACCTTAATTGTTCGACAAGGCACTGGCACATGATGGCCATTGACTTGTCAGACTGCCGGCTTCTGCACGAACCGATTTACCTGAGCGTTTAAGTTGCGCGCTGGGAAGTTCGTATACGCTGTTGGCTGTCCTTCATACCTTCCTTTTGTGCTCTTTTCACAGGTGGACAGATTAGTACCGGGTGGGATTTGATCTGCCTGCCAAGGTAGACATTGGTATCGAAATAGTTGGCCAATACTTGTAGAGAGTTGAGTCACAGGGAGTCCATGGGCCGGGGCGCATTTCGGGACGCGCCACTGCAATGTCTTTTTGCTATAGTCCTGGCCTAGCCGGCCCGGGTTGAGTATGGGTTAAATCAACTGTCAAAGTAAAAGTTCAGTCAAACGAGCTGCAAAACGCCCAACCTGCTTCAACCGCATAAACTTGCGACGCTAATCACCAATTCATTGATGGGTTGCGTCAACAGGTAACTGCTTGAGAAAAAAATGTAAATAAGGCCACCTTACATTGTTAAGACCCTCTAAGCCCTCCGCCCTCCCTTGTGCATTTTCCCCGCCCTAGAGGTAAGCCAAATTTGGTAGTTCTGTGGTACTAACAGCAGACGAGGGGCGAACACGTACAGATGAGTGTAGATGAGCGAGTGTTAGATTAAAAAAGAACAGCAATCTCATGTTCTTGTGAGAGATGGTGCCACTACTACACATGTTACCGCAGAACCAATCTGCCTCGTAAGCCGTAAGCATTAAGCAAACCTACGCATTCAATAAAACTGTTGCAAACAGAATCAGCCGCGGTGATAGGAGCACGTCGAAACAAGACAAGTATCTACACATTGGCAGTGCAATCGGAGTTTTGCCTTAAGGGAGATTGAAATCAAAATGTAATTGGATGACACTCGAACAAGAACACATTTCGGACAGCTGGATGACAAAGCAAAATAAACCATATCTGTCCATCTAGGTTTTGTATTTATTTCAAATGACAAATAAATATAAATTTTTGAGTGTCCCTCAAAATATCAGGTGACAATGACAATGACATTTTTAAAACTCGTTTGGTAACTGTCATGTACATGACCAACCCAATGAAATATAACACTTGCCAAAAGATAAGTACACTTGGCATCCAATACTTAGCCCCACTCAATTCTTATCTTATTCTGCCATTTTATTTTGTGGCCTGTAATATAAATCTTGATTGCATGTGAAATAAAATGATGTAGAATTGAGTGCCTTGGTTTATTCTTCCAGTTTATCTGATGCAAGCATCACTGAGCTTGTAATTTGCCAAGCAGCTTGAAGTACCAGAGCATTTTGTAAGTTGGTTGGTCTCACTGACAGCATGAATGAATGTATACAATGGACACACCTAGGGAACTGCACAGGCATACCCCCAGGTATGGGCGGTTGTACCTGTACCCATACCCACTGAAATACCCATACCCGCACTTGGGGTATGGGTTTTACTACAGGTGTTGCACTCTCAGACCCATACCTGCACTTATGTGGGATATACCCATGGGTAGCATGAGAATTAGCAAAATAAATTGTACTCCTACAAAGTGCGCTACTATTGGCTACCTAGCTTAGTGTTGCCACGGCTCCAGCTTGTTGCCGGTTCTAGCCGTGGCCCGAGCTATAAATAGCTGAGTTGACAAGCGGTTACAGCTTATAAAATTATGGTCCAGCTTGGCTTGATTAGTTACAGCTAAGTCAACTTAAGGGCTTAAACCAACTCAAATATATTTTTAAATTAGAAGCTAAAAATAGATTTTAGAATTCAGAACTTTAGTCTTGAGAACCGCCACGAGAAACTTAGGAAAGCAGGTGTCAATCACACCGATTCACAATGCACTTCACATTTACAAGTCACATCATTCATACTCATGGGTCCACAAGACAAAGTAAGTGATTTCAATAATAATTAATCAAAAACTAAAAAAAGTATCTAGTTGTATGGTAGTGCTACTTGTGCATGAAGATTACGAGAACAGCGTGCATCAGCGCCATACACAGAGAGACCTGTTGTAAGGTAGCGGAGAGTTGAGAGAGTGGCTGCAACACAAGGAGAAGGGGAAAGAATCGTTTGGATGAGTTGAGAAGGGGATGAGATCATTCAGATGAGCTGAGAAAGGGACAGGATCATTCAGATGAGTTGAGAAGGGGGGGGTCGTTCAAACGAGTCGGAGATGCAGGTGGGGACGGTACTTCAGGAGGCTTCTAGGTCATGGTCATGGTAGTGGGAATTAGTGTCAAGGTCAGAGGTTTGTGTTGCGAAGGATATGCCTGTTAGAATAGATGTTTGCACAATGTGATTGAGACATGGATTAATGTTGTTGCTGGCAAAAATGAAAATGACAGACTCACCATATGCAACGGCTCGGAGCAGCATGGCTCATGCTCGAAGGAGGGTCAACAGCTTACGATCTGCAAATGGTGGGCAACAACTTGGATCAGCATGGCTTGTGCTTGAAGGAGGGTCGACAGACTTATGACCTGCAAACGGTGGGCAACGACTCGGATCAGTGTGGCTCATGCTCGAAGGAAGGTCGACAGACTTACGATCTGCAAACAGTGGGCAATGACTTGGATCAGCGTGGCTCGTGCTCGAAGGAGGATCAACAGCTTACGATCTGCAAATGGTGGGCAACAGCTTGGATCAGCATGGCTCATGATTGAAGGAGGGTCGACAGACTTATGATCTGCAAATGGTGGGCAATGACTCAGATCAGCATGGCTCGTGCTCGAAGGAGGGTCAACAGCTTACAATCTGCAAATGGTGGGCAATGACTCGGATCAGCATGGCTTGTGCTTGAAGGAAGGTCGACAGACTTATGATCTGCTAATGGCGGGTGACGACTCAGATCAGCATGGCCTGTGCTCGAAGGAGGGTCGACAGACTGAGAATCTGCTAATAGTGGGGACGACTGGGATCTGCATGGTTTGTGCTCGAAGGAGGGTCGACAGACTTACGATCTGCAAATGGTGGGCAATGACTCAGTCCGCGTCGATGAAGAAGATGATGCCGCCTACTGTGAAGAGAACCTCATGTAATGCGGATATTTTGAGGTGCATTATTACACCTACAGCAGAGATATCTATGCACAGCCCCTTATGGTCTCCTGAGGGTCAGAGAACCAGGCATGTTGTTCAGCCATCCAGTCCACTAGGTGTTGGCGCTGGTGATGTTGCCGCGCAACTTGATGATCAGTCTCTTGTACTGCCTGAACCACTTGAGGGTCCCAGAGTTACACCGACCACCTCACTGTTTGCTATCCCTGGAGAAGGAGAGATGGAAGTCCAGAACACCTCTGCGCATCAGGACGTCCCCCTAGATGACATAATGGACGACATGATGCCATCAGAAGGCTTGCAGGGTGTCACTGAGAGCATTGGATTGCTGGATCTACATGAACACGGTCGATCCCCTGAAGTAGATATCAATGTCAATCAGGTATGTATAGCCCTCATGGAACTCACCAGGTGAATTGACATGCTTCATTAGGTAGTCAATTCGCCTCTAGAGAGTGTATGTAAAGACGGGTACCTTGAAGGCATTCTGGTGTCTGCCGAATTGATGGAACACGAGGAGTTAGAGTCACTGGGGATGTTGGTAGATGACGTTTCGGCTGAGAGTGTGGAGGAAGTTTTGGTCACTGTTCATGAGCACCTCAATGTTGATGAAGACGACAGTGGTGTAGGTATGAGAAAAACACAGGAACTGGCGAGAAAACGCACGAAGGCAAGTTCAAGGCCTGTGTCGATGGCTGTGTCAGGAGATAGTGATGAAGAATGCCTTTTGGTGCTCATGCAATTAGAAGCTTCAGATGGAGAGGTGTGTTGCTTGTTCATGACAGGATGCCTATGTAACCTTTTCTTATCCTCTAATCGCAGGCAGGAGATGCGGATCATCCTATCTCCATCAACAGCAGCTGGACGGTATCTTCACACACTTCTTCAAGACAGCTTTCTCGGTCTCCTGTGCCTGCCAGTTCCTTGGGCGTCTCCAGTGTGGTAGATGGAGGTGATACTGCATTCATGAAGCAGCTCAAAGAGGGTGTCAACTATTGTATGGATGGATATCCTGTTGTGACATGGAATTCGTATTTGCAAGCACAGCGGCTGCTGCCTCTCAAATATTGTCTTGCCAAGGACCTTGCGCATGAGCTCCAGGACTGTGTCAATGCCCTCCCTCAGTCATACAGACATTCACATCAGGCAACTGTGCTCTTTGAGGCTATGATTGATGAAGCAATGGATGACGAGCTCAAAGCCCCTCCCATATCAATCATTAACGAGGTGACTGATGAAGGTGTGCCGCCTTGGGAATTTGTATACACAAACCAGATGTGGTACGGCGATGATCTTGCTTCTTGATTGAGGGATGTGATGACAATAAAGGAAGCAAATAAGATGGCGAGGTTAGCAAGACGACCATCAACTGAAGGAAACATGGTTAGAGTGGTATGTGGGTAGACACCTAACACATAATTGCACGCAATACCATGGCAAGAGCAAAAGTCATCAAGGTCAATGTGGTCTGACAAGAGATTGAGCCTCAGAGCAGCAGACAATATGAGTTGCAAATCGGACATCTGCTGACTGTCTCATATGAACCTGCATAGACATATATTAAAGAGCACCACATCCTTTGTGAAAAGGTGACCAACCTACAACAGCACTAACAGCTGCTTTTTTTAAGAACAGTGGGCAACGACTCAGATCAGCATGGCTAGAGTTCGAAGGAGGGTCGAGGAACTCACGATCTGCTAATGGTGGGTAATGACTCAGAGCAGCGTGGCTCGAGTTCAAAGGAGGGTCAACAGACTCATGATCTGCAAAAGGTGGGCAACGACTCAGATCAGCATGGCTCAAGTTTGAAGGAGGGTCAACAGACTCACGATCTGCTAATGGTGGGCAACGACTCAGAGTAGCACGGCTCATGCTTGAAGGAGGGTTGACAGACTGACAATCTGCAAATGGTGGGCAATGACTCGGATCAGTGTGGCTCGAGTTCAAAGAAGGGTCGATAGCTTACAATCTGCAAATGGTGGGCAACAACTCAGATCAGTGTGGCTTGAGTTTGAAGGAGGGTCGACAGACTCATGATCTGCAAAAGGTGGGCAATGACTAACAGTGATTCAACAACTGTAATGACAATGGAGTTAGATGCTTACCTCTGAGGTTTTGCCATTGTACTCACCTAAAAACTCATCTAGGGTGAGTTTAATGGTTGGATGGTAAATGCTAAAACCAGTTGCACAGTCACTACTGACATCTTTCCTGCAGTTTATGCAGTTAGCATGGGCAATAAAGTTGAGGAGAAGTTTAGCTCTCACATTTGCCATTGTACTCACCTAGAAGCTCATCTAGGGTGAGTTCGATGGTTGGACAGTAAATGCTAAAACCAGTTGCGCAGTCACTGCTGACATCTTTCCTGCAGTTAGTAAGATGAGAACGTTGAGAAAAAATATAAATCAATAGTCAAGGTTAGTTTAATGACAAAAGCAGCAGCGGCATGAGTAAGATGAAGGGAACAGTCAAAGTAGTAGCGAACAAGCAAGAATTAAGAAGCAGGAATAGATATGTCTGTGATATCATCTGGAACATCGTCACATTCATCCTCCGTGATGACTCTAAGAAGAGCCTCATAATCGCGGCTGCCAGATGTAGTTCCGCTCATAGCGGATATCAGTAGATCACCAGAACTAGATGGTAAGAGATCTTCACAGCTCACAGAGCCTATAGCACACATCAAATCATACTCCATGTCCTTTTGGGATGCTGCCCAACCCTTGCTAAAGTGAAGTCGCTCCTTTTTCAGTGTGAATTTGACTATCTGTAGAGCTTCCATCAAGTATGGGCTGAGACGATGGCGCTTCTTGGTAAGTGTCTCACTGCTGGAGGAGAATATGCGCTTGCATGGAACAGCAGAGGCTTGGATTGGCAGGAAATCCATTGCAATTTTGAAGAGTGTTGGAAACATTGGCTCCGAAACCTAGTCCTCATCACCAACAAAACATGTAATAGAGACAGATATCTTACCGTCCAAAAAGATAGTATATCTGTTCCTGTATGGCTAAGAACACCTGTGATATAAGCATTGAATTCATCTTCAGCTAATTGGGGGCAGCGAACCTGGCGACGCGGCAGTAGGTCTATCTCAGGAAGTCCATAGATCGTTAAGCCTAGTGTTGCAGGACATGGCCGACGAATCAACTGATTGGACTCTGCAGAGTCATTTGTCGCCCTCTTATTCTACATCTGTAAGACATATAAGCCCAAAGTTTGCTGTTGTTATTGTTAGGCAGATGTACCAGTTTGAGAATATAGTCTTTAGCCTCTGTGATTCATGAGACTGACCAATGTTCGTTCATCCATGACATATGTCTTGTGAGATTGACAACTATACACAATCATTAGAGTTCAGATTAACCAAAACACGCAGGATTTACACATTGCAACAGCATACGCTCCTGTGAGACTCATTCAATCATCATACTTAGCTGCCCATGTTAAACCTATGGTGACCAAAGGTGCACAGTGTGGGACAAGGTCCACTACAAGCTTGCATCTTTGGATCAGCCCTTCGAAGGCTGGAATGGTGCTGCCCAGTAGAGGACTGGTTTCACCAGACATGCATTGCTGAGCATGGTGCAGTGCCTAATGTAGAATAGTAAATATGACATGGGTGTTGGATGTATTAGAACATACCTCTAGAATAACCTCAAGATCCTGCAGGACTTGCCAATTCATGGGGCTCAGTTTATAATGCACTATGCTGTGTTGAGCAGGAAGATTGATCCAATGGTCAATAGCCTGGGCAACTGTTAGACTATGTGAGAATTAATGAGATGAAACATTACCTGTCATAGCCTTCTCAAACGATTGAACATAATGTATGTTGAATCCCAACAAGTAGGTTCGTCACAAAGCAATTTGACTGTTGGAAGGGCCATACACTCATTCATGTCGTTTATGAACCATCCCTCTGCATTACCAGAAGTGATGGCAGCTCGAAAACTATCACGACGCTGGCCTGATGCACGAATTATGCGGACAATATTTCTGGCCCGATCGATGATGTTATGTTGCAGAGCATTGACGTACTGCACCTTGCTAAAAGTGTAAGGGCCAGCTACAAAAGTATCAGCCAAATGCGAAAAGTCTGCAGTAGAATATTTGTCGAGGATGTGTTGGACACATATATTCACTATGTGAGGGAAACATGGGATTCAGTGATCAACCACGTCAAATTCAATCCCATCTTTCTGCAAAAGTTGCGAGAGTTTGTCCATTGTGGTCCTGTTGTTGCTAGCATTGTCCAAGGTAAAGTGTCCAATCTAGATGAAGTCAGGGCATATGATACAGTATAACAAGACACTAACATTATGTTTCACTTCAGCACAATCAATCAGCTCCAATATTTTTGAGGTGAGTGCCTTCCTGTATGACTACCAGGAATGTGATGAAAAGCAATTAGAGTGGCCTTCAAAACAAGTCTTGCATTCCCGCTTTCTTTTGCAATCCAATGCACAGTCACAGCAAGGAAGGGACGAAGCTTAGAATTGGACCAGACATCAGATGTGAATGAAATTCATCCTTGGGCAGTCTGCAAGATATGAAAATACTGTATGAGATCAGTAGCTGGACACTTATGGCAAGGTCAAGTTTGATGGCTGCAAAATATTCATCCCAAGCATCGATGATCAGTTGCCGGAACTTTGTATGATGTGGGATGTCAGAATCTTTTAGGTCTTGACACAAGAGGCAGAGTAGGCAACAAAACTCTGGACACTCAATGATGCTGATTGCCTAGAGATGGTCATTAATGAGAGTACATACAGTGGCTCAAAAAAGTGTCCCAATGTTTGTAGCTTTTCATGTAATTGCTATATCATGTGTCAAGCCGTGGGAATATGACTAAGCCATAGGGAGGTGTCGGAAAGGTCTGCTTCTCAGCTTCATTTCGGTTCCCTATACCGTGGGAAAATAACGACATTATGTGAAGATATGATCATTTTAATTTGATGACTCATTGGGACACTTTTTTGACTTTGAGTTTAACTAATGTAATCTCTATAATTCTAGTACTTTGTGTGACCTCCTTCTGCCCCAATCACTTCTGCCACTCTTCTAGACATATTCTCTATCAATTTTGGGTATTCCTCTTTGGTATTTTCATCATACTCTGTTGTAACACTGTCTCATAGTTGGAATAGCCCCTATGGTGAATCTTGATATGCTACAAGCAATTTCTTGAGTGATTCTCAGGGGTATTCAATATGGTTGATGTCTTGCATCTATGCTGAACATGATAGAATAGTAATATCATGGTCTGCAAGCTATTGGTGGCTGATTTAGAGGTATACTTAGGGTCATTGTCTTATCACAAAACAGTATTCTCTTCATTAACTCATAACTCCTGCATGCTTCTTAGCAGACACTCCTGTCAAATGAGTGCTTACTACTCTATATTCATCCTCCCCTTTACTTCATAGAAAATTCCTACTCCATTTTATCTCATATAGTTCTATACCATCGAGTTTTCGTCTTGAAACTTAAGTGTTTATTCAACTTTTCTTTATCTTAATGGTTGTGCTATCAATTTTAATACAAATTCCTTGCCATATGATCTCATCCTATTAATTTTAACCTTATATAACTAGATAAACCTCTTTCAGCTATTAGCAGTCCAATATTTGTACTTGAAAGTAGCATCTTGTCTTTTCTGTTTATAGGTTGGAGACAGAAGAATCTGTTTCTCTTGATTATAGCTTCAAAGTGGGCTGTCTTAAGAATCTGTCTGACTATTTGAGTAGAGATAGTCATAGAGATGATGGAAATAATCAATTTAGTCACCTTTTTAGCATCAGTGGCCTTTCCGATTAGAATATAGTGATTAAGAGATCTTAAGTCTTATAGAGCAACCTTCTAGATTGGCTACCAAATAACTTAAAGACCATGATATTACTATTCTATCATGTTCAGCATAGATGCAAGACATCAACCATATTGAATACCCCTGAGAATCACTCAAGAAATTGCTTGTAGCATATCAAGATTCACCATAGGGGCTATTCCAACTATGAGACAGTGTTACAACAGAGTATGATGAAAATACCAAAGAGGAATACCCAAAATTGATAGAGAATATGTCTAGAAGAGTGGCAGAAGTGATTGGGGCAGAAGGAGGTCACACAAAGTACTAGAATTATAGAGATTACATTAGTTAAACTCAAAGTCAAAAAAGTGTCCCAATGAGTCATCAAATTAAAATGATCATATCTTCACATAATGTCGTTATTTTCCCACGGTATAGGGAACCGAAATGAAGCTGAGAAGCAGACCTTTCCGACACCTCCCTATGGCTTAGTCATATTCCCACGGCTTGACACATGATATAGCAATTACATGAAAAGCTACAAACATTGGGACACTTTTTTGAGCCACTGTAGATGGTAGACAGTACTCACTTGGTCATCAGCTACAATGAACTTCACTATATGTCTATGCATCTCTTCAATGGAGAAGCCTGGTAAGTTGTGCAAGGATGCTGACTTCCCAACAGTGGGAAGTGAACTACTATGTCTGGGATTAGGGGGAGGGCCGAGTGTCTCGATTGTGCAAGTGGGATTTTTGAGTCGTTCCCGCATCTCAGCAAAGGTCCAGCCTTTATTAATGCAATCCCCTACAGGATGTATGCTGACTGGCCATTGCCATTTCTCAGACTCCTGGAGATAAAGGTCGATATGAGATTTGTAGATGTGTGAATGAAGAAGAGTATTGCTTGTGGATGAACTGCAAGTGATAAGGGGACAGGATGAGTCAATTTTATTGAAATCCCTGGTAGAGGGGGTGAGAAAGAGCAGAAAAGACTCCCAGATATGTTACTCACTCGCATGGTATGCAAATATGCTTGCCTGTGTCTGAGTTCTTCCTGAAGAAAAACTGGATATCAGACGTAGTCTTGAGGCCTCATTTCCTTGTAGCAAAAGGATTGGTGGGGAAAGTGCTAGTCGCTGTCTGCAGTGGACTTGGGTTTGTATTGGTATTGGCATTGGCTAAGTTAGTGTTGGTGTTGACTAGGTTTGTGTTGGCATCAGATAGGTTTGTGTTGGCGACAGCCATGACTTCAGGTGGGTTGTCATCATCTTCACTGCCACTGACATTGTTGATATTGATCCACTCACTGTCACCTGGATGACCAGCTGCATTGTCCTGCCTGAATCTCTGAGGAAGTTGTCGTTGTCTCCTAGGGTGGTGAAGGGTAGTGGCAATTGTAGCTGCTGCAGTGGTAGTTGCCGCAGCAGCAGCAGCAACAAGTACAGGAGTAGCAGGAGTGACCTCAACCTGGGGGTTATTGGTGTTTTGTCAACAACGGCCATGACGATTCATATCAGCGGTGCTGGAGCTGGGAGATGCAACAAGAGACTCACCTGTCTATATACTTTCATTCTGTAAGACCCTGATGCACGAATCACCTTATCCTGAGTGTTGCACTTCACAGCATCACAACTCATCCCCACTGTATCGATCAGATGATCCAGATCACGGCGACCAAATCTTGAATGTAGGTGGGAATTTCCATGAGGAGAATGTGTTGTAGAGACTCATGCCTCTCATGGTATGATATGGCACTTTTCACTAGGGAGTTCATTGTATGAACTTGCAGCACCACTCTGTGTGCTGTCCGCAGCTATCCCTATATGAGGCGCAGCTATCCTGCGCCATGTGCGCACATTTCCCGTGCTTCATGATGTATATGTGCGTGCGTTCCCGCACTTGAGTGCCCTATAGCGCCAGCCATCCAGAAGCATCCATCCACTGTCCACCAAGCTCTCTAGTGCATGTAGTTCCATTTCCCTTATTTGCATATCATTCCACCTTTATTTTTATCATGGACCCTTACTTATATATATATTTACATACTAGACCTTACTCGGTAGCGCTTCGGCTCCACATGACAGTGCTTAGGTACCATATTTAAGCGCCAGCAGTACATACCAAACCACCTCACTTTCCACCTTACTTCACCTCTCACTTTACCTACTACTTACTACCTAGAAAGTTGCAGTAGAAATCTATTCCTTTACACCTCGCACTCTCATCTCTTATCTTGCATTATAACATCACTTAAGCTTAGTCTCTCTCATTTCTGCATATCTGCGTGCACTTTCCCATGCTTTGCGCCTTACGCGTGCACATTCCCATGCCTTCGTGCCTTGTGCACACCTGCGCACTTTCTCGCACTTTGCATTGGCCAACCAGTAGCGCCTTCAGCGCATATCACTAGATCCTTGCTGCACTTGCTTCCCCTTTAGCGTTGAACGCACTTGTTGTCTCAAGCATAGCAGACTAGGCAATGCGCTGTAGAGACTCATGTGTCTCATGGTCTGATATGACAAGTTTTCACTAAGGAGTACATAGCATGAACTTGTAGCGTCACTCCGTGCGCTACCCGCAGCTATCTCTATATGAGGCGCAGCTTTCCCGCGCCATGCGCGCACCATTCCCGCACTTCACAATGTATATGCGCGCGCGCGTCCCCGTGCTTGAGCGCCCTATAGCGCCAGCCATCCAGATGCATCCATCCACTGTCCACCATGTTCTCTAGTGCGTATATTTCTATTTCTCTCATCTGCATATTGTTCCATCTTTATTTTTATCATGGACTCTCACCCATATATATCTTACATACCTACTTGGTAGCGCTTCGGCTCCACATGACCGCGCTTAGGCGCGCTATATAAGCGCCAGCAGTACATAGTACTACAGACTTCACACTTAAAAAACTTACTTTTCCTGCAACTGACTACTTACTACTCACTTACTACTTAGCAGAGTATAGTAGAAATCTATTTGTCTACACTTTGCATCTCTCTTCTCCTACCTTGCATCATATTATCACTTAAGCTTAGTCTTTATCAATTTCCGCATATGCGCGCACGCTTTCCCACACTTCACGCTAATACGCGCGCGCGTTCCCGCGCCTTCACGCCTTGCGCACACCTGCGCTTTCTCGCGCCTCGCTTCAGTGCATACCTCTAGATCTTCGCTGCACTCGCTTCCCCTTTAGGGTCGAACGCACTTGTCTCCTCAAGAATAGCAGACTAGGCAACGCTTGACCTACAACATTTTTAGATACAGTTAGGAGCATCATTGTTCCTCTCTGTATTGTTGTTTCGACAGCGCGACCTTACAACATTTACAGATACAGTCAGGAGCCTCGTTCGCACCTTGCTGTATTGTTGTTTCTACAGCGTGAAGGAATGTTATTAACATGATATTAGGGTTGAACCCTGCTGACAATCGGGAAAGACCAGCTAATTGAATACAGCCATAGTTCTGATTCTTAAAGGAATAATCAAGCCTCAAGGCTCAAGCAGAAGATGTGAGTTCAACGGGCGAAATTGAGGTAATCATCCCAATGCAAGGCTGCAGACTGCAGTGCGCATCGTGGGAGTTAACACTGGAATTACACAGCATATGTGCACAGACCATGTATACAAATACGTAGATACTATTAATCAACATCTGTACAAACATGCACACTGCGCAGATTAGTAGTACTGAAAAAAATATTGGGCTATATAATGCATTTTTTCATTTGATGACACAAAGTGGGAGTAGTTGCAGGCGTTAGGGTACCATTGCGTGGACGTAACCTTGCAAATGATAAGGTCATAAATGATGAGTGCTGCATAAGAATAAATGAAAACACTTACACACGAGTTGATCTATGAAGAGGCATTGCCTTCAGCAGACATAGGGGCACCAATTCAGAGACTTGATGGTGAGGGGAAGATGTGATATGACAATTGAAATCCAAAGAGTGCAGTAGTTGGTGCAGGCCCTGCAGTGCAAAGATCGTGAAGTAAAGAACAGAGATGGTCGTAATCTGGATCCTCCAAGAATGAAAGAGAGCACAAGTAGACGAGAATATTTGCGAACGCAGCAGGAATTCCATCACATAAATCAGCGATGGTAGTATCCACTTTGCGTTCAAGTATCAAGGAGCTGGAAAGCTTCTCATGGTCACTATTTAGCCATGCAAGAGAGCCATGCAAGAAATAAATTAGCATGTAAGCAAGTGATTCCAGATCATCACAATGACCCAGCTCCAATCCCAAGTGATTATTGATGGAAGCAAAGGTGGGGATGCCTGTGAGATATCGACCTTGGCGAAATGGGATGTGAGATTGAGTTGCAGTGTTCCAGTACTTCTTTGCAATACCAAAATCAATGACATATGTGATTTGCTTCAAGTTGTCCACCAAAATGTTATGTGGTTTGATATCGCCATGAACAAAGCCATGTGAGTGAATGTACTCAAGATGCAACAACTGGAAAATAGGTTAGTAGCTGCAGCTCACAACAAATCTGAACCTAAGTACCAGCTGATCCCCTAAGTTCACAACAGTTTGAAGGGTGAATTTATGGTTGCATGCAAGGAAGAGCTTGTGCAGCGATGGACCGAGGAGGTCGAGAGCTAAGGCATGATATGTTGACTCCCTGCCAAACCAAAGGGCTCGGGGGATTCCAACACCATCTTCAAGTTGCTTTAGAATGTTGTACTCACGCTCCACAGAAGATGGGTTATTGGTGACTGGTTTGAGTGTAATAGCAACAACATCATCATTGAGGAAGTTCTGTGCATGGTATACAACAGCTAATAATATATCTGAATATGAATCAATATCATACAAACAATGAATATACCATATGAGCCCAACCCCAAGATATTCTCCAGCCTGAATCTACCATTGATTTGACTCGGGGCCTTATTCAACATGCTATGTAACAGAACTAAATAATACAGCAGTGGTGCATGCCACGGTCGACGGCACAGACAGAAAGTTGTTCAACTTCCATGTGACTAAAGCCGACTTGAACCAGCTCAAGTCGATATTTCAGGAGAAATGGCTTGTAGCCAACTCATGTGACTAGTAAGTCAAACCAAGCCGGACAATGTGGTTCAACTCACAAAAATAGCTGAACTTCAGGTGTAGCTGATCAAAGCCAAGTCTGAGCTGGGTCAAGCTGAGCCATGACATAACTAACCTAGCTTGAATTGAAGATTCTGTTTTTTCATGTCAATTTGTATGTCATCTTTTAAGACATCAGCACTCACTTATCTCATCTTCGCCACTCTGCTCTTTGTTAGCGCCACTCATATCTCTGTCATTGTTGATCTCATCATCTGAGCTAATGGTGATTGGATTGTTGTGCATGTGTAATGCTTCCTCTTCCTCCTTGGTTCAGACTATAGCCTGGTGGCTTGTCTGGGGAATCATCATGATGACTGGCTGTGCATCTTCAGATGGTATGCAATTTTATTGGAGGCTGCTCATAATACTAACAGATAGCTTACCAGGTATCTGGCTTGGCTTTGCCTTCTTGGGTTGTGTGCTCCCCACACTGCTACCATCAACTTTTTGCTTTTTGATGGCTTGACTAACTTGTCATTGAGGGTAGCTTTAGCTTTGTCTGTGAGTTTTGTGACATGCCTTGCAGCTGTTGAGAAGAAATTTGGTTGCATGCTGTGATGAGTTTATACAGATTTTCGTCTTATAGATTTTTGTATCTGTTTTGAGTATTGAGGTTTGTAGCTTCAGGATCATGAAATGATAGTTCTATTTGGTATATTTAGAGTTTTAGGTTTGAGTGATGTCAGAGTGCTGTGCCATTCTTATTTTGGTAATATACCCACACTGTGAGTACCCTAAGTCTAGACCCAGACCCACACTTCAGGGGTACTCACACTCATGACCTATATGGGTTGCTCATATCCATGCAGTACCCTAGACACACTAAACTGGATCTTTCCTGAACACAACATCTACAACCCTCACTATGCTGTAGATCCATCATCTGGGCTGCATTGCTCACCTCAAAAAGCTTGCCCTCCTGCATATATCCAACCTACTACACGGTCAGGTCACTGGCACATCAGATGATGAGGTATCAAAGTTAACAGAGACCGTGTTAGCTGAAGCTGACCTAAAGCTTGAGACTGCTGTGTCAGATGATGCTACTGTAAAGCTGGAGAGTAAGTGTAGACTGATGGATAAAGACAAACTGACTGCTGTCAAGCACATCACCTTTGTTGAGGTCTGGTACAAATTTTGGTTGAACCAGGACACAGTTTGTACAATGGTAAGTCACACTTCAAGTTTCATGTTGAATTGCACTTACCTTAGCACTGTTTAGCTTACACACAAGACACTTTGGAACTGTGTAACCTATGCCCAGGTTCATAATTTTTGATGGAATCAGGCTGGGGAGAAATACAAGCAGGTAAAGGAGATGGAAGAACATACTAGTAGAGGAGACAGAGACAATGATCAGATTGTCACTGAATTAGGAGATGAAGAAGAAATCAAAATTCTCGACTTTAACACAAAGAACAACACAATAGCTCTTGATGAAATGAAGTACAGGAAGAGTGTGTCAAAGGCCAAGTTTGCATATCACACACTATAAGCCTTCAAGGAAATAGAGATTTTCAGGCTGATTGATGAAGTATGAGTCCTTTCAATGTCACTGTGCAAAATACAGTTGATAATCTTACTGTATGATAGGGCATGGAATGATGCCACTGTTGTTTGTACCCATGACATCATCTCCTCAGATTCAATTTCAATTACAGATGATGAAACAGCTTCTTTACAGAAGTGAGCTCATAATTCAGCATCTCTCAACTCTGATAGCTATGGCGAGACAACCTCCCTCCTTCATAATATGATGGGATCCATCAGTCAATGCTATGAATGGCAGGAGCAACTTGATTAGCTTAACATGGAGCTTGTACAAAAGCAGGAAAGAGGAGAGCAGGCTGAATATAAGGAATGATGAGCAGAAATTTACCTACAAGAAATCCAGCAGGTATGAAAGGAACATGCAGAGCAGTGGCTTCAGGTGAGTGAGATGTTGAAGCATCTCAGCCCAGTTATATAGAGGCAAGGTGAGAGACTGGCAAAAAGGTTAGGACAGCTTAAAGAGGAAGATGAAAGACTTTTGGTCTAGTTCACATTCAGTTGATAGTACTAAATTTTTGTGCTGTAAAATTCCTACTCGATATAAGTCATCTGCATCCAATGAAAGATTTCACATACAAACTGGACCCTCTCCCCTAATGTCTAGAACATCTTTGGTGTCTTGCTCATTGAACCCTCTAATGGTTGCTGGGTTGTTGTGAACTCCTCAAGTATATTGTGTAAGATCATGGCTGCCTTGATCACCGAGAATATATCATACATGTCGAAGCCAATCAAGCAGCGAAGCAAGGGGAAGTGACCCTTTAATCATCCAAAAGCATGTTCAATATAAATCTAAAGCGAGGATAGTTGTCTGTTCCATTTTCAATGCAAGGTGACCTGCTCAGGATCATTCATAAGGTCAAATTCATTAAATGGGCAAATATAATATTTTGTCAGTGGATAACCTATTGTAGATGAGGTCCAATGAGTCTTCATAGTTAAAAAATCCAAATATACCTTTGTCAACAAGGATATACTTATGTGAGTGAAAATATTGCTCCTTCTTATGCCACAGATGAGATTTTTTGAAAACATGGTATAGAGATACAATGATTGCTGGACACTACATGAAGTAAGTAACCAGCAATATAAAAAGGTGTTGTGGTCTTGCACAGCCTAGTCTGCTATACTTGTGAGACAAGTGCATTCAACCTGATGGGTTAGCTATTGGAATAGGTCTGTAGCTAGACAAACGATAAATAGCCAAAAGTCCAAGCACAAGAAACAATGTCCAAAGGTATAATTATGAGTCTGATGCCAAAGTGTCAGGTCTAATGTTTTTGGGTTTAGTGGGTTAGCAGGTTAGTGGATTCAGGTTTAGCTGGTTATGGGGAATAGCGATAGTGAATATCAGGAAACCGAGCGGTATGTGGCCCATCAATCATGATGGGTATTTCAGATAGAATGAGTGGTAATATTCATAATATCAACTAAGAACTACGAAATATCAGATTTGACCACAAAGCATTGGGAAACAGCTACCTACTACTTGGATGATGAATAATGCTCAAAGTCAGCCCAATATATATGTAAGTACATAGACATCCAGAAACCTATAGGCAAAAGTAGTGGCCAAATATTTCAGGTCCAAAGTACATGTAAATAAACATGAGGTGCTACAGATGATGGAAAAACATGTGCTAGTGCTGGCTACGATGTGAGTAATGTGCAAAATAATCAACTATGCACCTAGTGGGGCTAGCAAGATGGGACAGTGTAGATGAGGAATGTAAAGGGTAGGTAAATGTGTGGTGTGAGATATACTCAAGTAGTCCTTTGTGTGCGAGCTAATGTCAGCCCAAGGAGATTGCTACTGAGAAGGTTCCTCTAAGTATATAAATGGAGGAAAAACACTGAACTGGATGCCTAGTTAAGCCTGGTAAGACACACAATAATAAGCAAAGCATGAAAGAGCAAGAGCACTGTGAAGTGCTATTGAGCGATGAAGGATGATGGCACATGTATGGATGTTGGAGCAAAGTAACTCTTGAATGAGTCAGAGGACAGACAAACAGAGGTTCTAGTAATATATGATGGCAGGCACTCATGTACAATTGAGATACCTTAGCATCGGTTGGTGGATATGACAGAGATTTAGACTTAGAGTCCAACAATGTGCAAGAAAAAAGATATCCATTATACAGTGAGGTGGGAGTATATATATTCTATCTAAGTAGCACTAAGTGCTGTCAAGCACTAAAGCAGACCAGAAGTGAAGTGAGTACATGATAGCATGTAATATAAGGGTCCATTGTAAAGATACAATAATGCTTGATACTATACAAAGTAAGTGTCAGCAATATCAAAATGTTGTAGTGGTCTTGCACAGCCTAGTCTGCTATACTTGCTAGACAAGTGTGTTCGACCTGAGGGGTTTGCTATTGGAATAAGTCTATAGTTAGTCAATCGATAAATTGTCAAAAGTCCGAGCGCAAGAAACAGAATCCGAAGGTATAATTACGAGTCCAATGCCAAAGTGTCAGCCGATGTTTTCAGGTTTAGTGGGTTAGTGGGTTTTTGGTGCAGGTTCATCAGGTTTGCGTTGGGTTTGTGAAATGATCATCGGGTACAGCGAGCAATATGCAGAATATTGATAAGGACAGGTGTTTCAGATAGAAAGTGTGGTAATATTCGCAATGTCAACTAAGAACTACAAATTATCAGGTTTGACCACAAAGCATCGGGAAACAGCTCCCTACTACTTGGATGATGAATGTGCTATGTGGAAACCAATATATATATAAGTATGTAGAAATCTGGAACCCTATAGGCGAAAGTAGTGGCCGAAAAATTTCAGTTAGATATACATGTAAATAAACACGAGGTGCTGCGGACTATGGGAAAACATGTAATAGCGCTGGCTACGACATGAGTAATGTGCGAAATAATTAACTATGCACCTAGTGGGGCTAGCTGACAAGACAAGACATGGATAGGACAAGTGCACGGGAAAAACATCGGGTCCGATGCAGCCGATGTGTCGGGTCTGCTGGTCAAAGCATTGGGTTGCATCCGGAAGTGAATATCGTGCGATGGACATTTTGACGTGATGCGTGAAATGGCTGAATACAAGCCTAGTGCGAGCTCGAGTGCTACACCGTGACAAAACATACAGAATATGTGTGCAAGCACCAGAGATATGTCAGAATACATGGAATTATGATAGGAATATGCACCAACAAACCAAATGAACATGGAATGGATGGACAGAGGATAAGCGATGGAACTGAGGATGCATGCACCAATGCGCATCTGAAGCACTTGTGCATGCTAGCAGCCAATGAAGTACCAAGTGCACTGGGATGAGATATGAGTCACACTATACTAGGAAGGTGATTGGGACATTGTGGAATTAGATCTCTATAAGACTACAGAGATATTAGTCTCTACAATGGCACACAGATTGGACAAGTGTGCAGGAAAATATTGGGTCCAATGCGGCCTAAACATTGGGTCCACAAGTCAAAGTGTTGGGTTAGTTGGTAAGTGTTGGGTTACATTGGGACATGATTATCATGCAATGGGCATTTGATGTGTGTCAGTATTTCACTGAATACAAGCTCAACACGAGGTTGAGTGCTACAATGGCTATCTTGGATTGATCCTGGCCAGCCAAAATCATAGGATGTAAACATTGCATGATGGTCACAGGTGGCCTGCACAATTAACTACATACATTGAATGAATTTTATTATTTGTGATAGTCAAAGTCACTCACTGTGTATTGTTTTTTTGTGGCACCAGTACACATATCTATTCTCAGTTGGTTTGTACATGAGGGGGATATAGCTCCTATCTGCAATATCTATGCAGCCAGAAAACCCCCATTCTGCCATTTCAGATAAGAGAAAATCCTGCCACCTCCCTCCTGGCCAGGCCAGGTGGTCATCACAAATATTACAGAGTGTTCAGAATACTCAACTTGAATATAGGTAGACTGTATCCTCAGCAACAGACATTACACTAGCAGTCTTGAGGCCTGACTCTCCATCTAAATGACAGAGGAAAGTTGCCAGTTGGTGGAAGATGGGGCACTGTGGGTGTCTGCCTTGGCTGATAAAAATTGGGTCTCCAGCTATTAAGTCATGGATATACCAGAAGGCTGCATGAGTCATTCTGAACTATGCCTGGAAGTGATATTCACTTCCATTATATACCTAGACTCATGACCAGTCTGACATACATCACATGAGAGTGGGAAATTTTTGATGTAGTCAGACTGGTCGATCTTGGAGAGATTTGGCAGGCAAAGCACAGAGTTTGAATTTTAGCAGGTACCAGTTGTGCCAGGTGTTGTCATACATCCAAACATTGTACAGATACTATACTGTTTTGCTACATCTCTATGTTAAGACCATGAGTTTCAACATTGGTTCTGTATTGCCTATGTCCATATCAGCTTTGAATGCTCTTGAAAACCTTCCAACAGACTTTACAAACACACTTTCAATGATACAGATCCAGCAAGTACTCGATGTATAAACAACAATACTGAGAGGAACAATTGAATGCTCCTGACTGTATCTATAAAATGTTGTAGGTCGTGCGTTGCCTAGTCTGTGTTACTTGAGGAGACAAGCGCGTTCGACCCTAAAGGGAAGCGAGTGCAGCAAAGATCTAGAGGTACGCGCTGAAGCGAGGCGTGAGAAAGCGCAGGTGCGCGCAAGGTACGAAGGCGCGAGAACGCGCGAAGCACGGGAAAGCGCGCGCGCATGTGCGGAAATGAGAAAGAGTAAGCTTAAGTGAGGATAAGATGTAAGACAAGTGAAGAGAGGTGCAAAGTGCAGACAAATAGATTTCTACTATGTTCAGCTAGGTAAATAGTGGGTGGTACTCAAGTCAAAAGTAAAATTGGGTGAAAAGTAAGTGGAAAACTTCCTCTCGTAGTATGTACTGCTGGCGCTTATATAGCACGCCTAAGCGCGGTCATGCGGACCCGAAGCGCTACTGAATAGGTATGTAAAGATATATATAAGTAAGGGTCCATTATAAAAATAGAGGTGGAATGATATGCTAATAAAAGAAATGGAAATATACGCACTAGAGAATATGGTGGACAGTGGATGGATGCATCTGGATGGCTGGCGCTATAGGGCGCTCAAGCGTGTGAACGCTGAAGGTACAACAATTCAGATGGTGAGTCTGAACAATATGTTGGGTCTTGCAGAACCTAGCTGCTATTCGACCCTAAAGGGTTTCTGGACCAGGCTCAAGGCTCAGAGGAGAGGAAATATCATAGAAAACTACTGAGCACTCAGACTCATACTGGTAACTGGTGAAAAGATTGCTTGATTATGTAAGCTACAAAAGTGCCAACATAAAGTAAGGTAAAAACAGTCTCTACAAGCCCAGCCAGAAATGAATCCCTACATCTCATGGGAACTTTAAATCATGACTGTCCCCAGTCATCTACCTATGCAAACCAAAGCTAAGCTAAACTTAAGAGAACTAACCTGGGGGTCCTCAAACACCTTTTGTTTCCTTGACGTGTATGCCAGGTAAACTGCGCCAGTGAGTGAGGGTCAGGCAATGCAATAAAACGATAACCTCCAGACTTTGCTTTTAGTACTGGAGGAGCAGCGATGCTAAAGTGAAAAAAACGCGATGATGGTTGCATGTATGACGATGGGGAGTAGACAGATAGAAAGAGGCGAACGAGGGCTTCGAAATGAGTATAGGGTTGACTAGGATTGGTTGAGAACTGAGTGAGAAACGAGGGAAATGGTGAAAAAGGGCGGAAAATGCGAGAAATGCGGATTGCGGAGGAATGCGCGGACGTATCGGGAAGCGGAGCGGACGGATGGAAAGCGCGGAAAAATGCGGTCAGAACGCGCCTAAGGCGATGGGCGCGCGATCACAGGGCGATGAGATATAAAGAAAGCGCAAAAATGGGGCAAAAAAATAGGGGGGAACGCGCAAATGCGAATAGCAAGCGAACGGCTGAGCGCGCGAAGGCGCGGATATGCGCGAATGAAAGCCATGAACGAGGGCTTCAAAACAGATATAGGGTCGATGGGGTTCAGATGCGAAATGAGCTGGTGAAAGTGCGAAAAAGTGCGGAGGTGCAAGAGGGAGGAGGAGGAAGGGGTTTGGTGCAGGGCAACAAGGACTGGTCCTATCAAGAAGCTGATTGGGGCAATGGACAGAGCCACTGGGGGATGGTAAATGGCCAAAAGAGCTAAATGAGACAGGCCTTTGTGCACCCAGAGAACCCTTATCTCCCCTCAACTTCTCAAAAACACCAAAAACTCGATATCTCCACAACTACTGCTCCAATTTCGATGAGCCAGGACTCAAAATGACCGGACGGATGAGGGGAATACGACCCTGATTTTGCGAGAGATCCACTCGAAAAACGCGTGAGAAAAATGCTTATCAATGCGCTGGGGAGGAGGAGAAGATGCTGAAAACTTGGGAATATGGGAGAAGCTGGTAATGAATGACTGTGGTGGGATAATAGGCGAATTTGGGGGATTATTGGAGAGCTGGAAGAGCCTAGAAACACAAGAAACCCTCGCGGTGGGCTCCAGTTGAAGGTACAACAATTCAGATGGTGAGTCTGAACAATATGTTGGGTCTTGCAGAACCTAGCTGCTATTCGACCCTAAAGGGTTTCTGGACCAGGCTCAAGGCTCAGAGGAGAGGAAATATCATAGAAAACTACTGAGCACTCAGACTCATACTGGTAACTGGTGAAAAGATTGCTTGATTATGTAAGCTACAAAAGTGCCAACATAAAGTAAGGTAAAAACAGTCTCTACAAGCCCAGCCAGAAATGAATCCCTACAACGCGCGCGTGCGGATACATCGTGAAGCACAGGAATGGTGCGCGCATGGCGCACGTTGCGTGGGAAAGTTGCACCTCATATAGGGATAGCTGCGGGTAGCGCACAGAGTGACACTACAAATTCATGCTATGTACTCCTTGGTGGGAACTGCCATATCATGCCATGAGAGGCATGATTCTCTACATCGAAGCTTTTGCGCACCTTGATTTTGTCTCAAAAGGCAGCAAAATTTCAAAAAAGGTTATTTTAACTCAAGGCTCTCATATCTTTGCTTGCAGGAAGACATGTGGTTCTTGAAGCTGCAATGGGCTCTGGAAAGACACTTTGCATGTATGGAGCAAATAGTATCATTTGAAGTATCCTATTTCAATTTTAATGATGTAGCGCAAACATGAGAAAGATGTGGTACTCCATGTAGTGTATGAACACAAGTTTCTGAGTGATTGATAGTCGACAGTAACTATGTAGCACTATTACTTTGACTGGTACAACCAGCACTTGCTAAATTAAAACTCCATGCTTCACCTGCCAAATCTCTCCGAGATCGACCAGCCTGGCTATGCTGCTTGACTCATCCATGGTTATATAAGTCAGGCTAGTCCCGAGCCTATTATATACCAGGATATCCAGGAAATCCTCCTATTTTGGCTGCTTGTAAGATCCATGTAGACCATATCTGTTGCTTCGTGCATATTTTTTCTTTGCTAAAGCAAGCACAGCAATGGCAAGGCCAATAAATCTGTCATCCTCATCTTCAGTACATGCAAGTTAGCAAATAGTAAAAGCTTTGAGTTTCATAGCTAGTTATCCATGAAATGAACAACTCCATTTGTCCATATGACAAAGCCATGCCATTGAACTTGATGACATCCAATAGCACTACTAGACACTATGCCTGCTATGTTAGTAAATAAAATCAGATCTTTATCTTTGCTGTTCTGAAAGTTTCTCTGCCCGTCTCCAATGATGTTGTCAATCTCATGACCTGCATGCCAAATATGCAGCTAGGCAGAAGCACTTTCACAAATTAAGTTAGCATGCTGAAGACTTGTGGTGGCAAGATGTACAGCTGAAGAAAGATCTGCAGTATGTTGTAGAGGAGTCTGAATACTAAGCAAGACTAGACAACAAAAGGTAGGAAACTAAAAATGCTTTTATTGATGGCCACCTTGCAGGAGAAGAAGAAACTTTGAGAGCATATCAAGGTTGTATATGCTTGGCAGAAACATGTTAGGGAGCTTAGGAGGAGTTCTTGAAGCACACAATAGTATGATGAATATTCACAGTAACTTAAGGATGGCCCACCACCTGACTGGAAGCCCTGAGTTTATATTTCACCTAGAGTATTAGTTAGATACTACATTTTAATAGATTATCCTTGGCAGCAACTTGAATGTTTGATCAATTAAATGATAATCAAAGAAGCCTTCACAAATATCTGGGATGCAGCTGAGGCCAGGAAGCTAAATAAAATAAAAAAGAGCACAAAGTGCTCTTTTTTGCTTCCTGTGCCAAAAGCAGAATGAGTGTGTGCTAGTTCTGACTTGGCCACCAATTCAAGCCCATTAAGTTAATTTAAGCAATGTGATATTTTACTGATGTAATACATCAAATCTACAGTGCAGGTGGATTTCACCATGTAATTATTTGTTTAATTTGTTTAGTGGTGCCTCTTATGATTGACATTTAGACAAAATGTTCACTGATGTTTTATATTTTCCTTATTATGCAAGATCTCTTTAACATTTGAAATTGTAAATCTGCTTATATGACAACCTAAATATTAAGTGTTGGATGACTTGCCATGGGCTTGAAGAAATATAGGATAGAATATCATATTTCACATTAGGCAGGCAGCCACAATGCTGGGCTTCATATGTGCTTGATTTGCAATTCAACATTATTTTCTACCCTCTAATGAACCTTAATCTAAAAGGGGGGGCACCCCCTCTGCAGATTTTTTAGATTATAATAAATGTGTTCTTATCATTTCAGGCCACTAACACTTGCGGTATCAGCTGATATAATGTTGCTACTACTACCTTACACCCTACTGCATAGTTGCTCTGGTGTCTCCATGATGAGCAACAGCACTTATTGGCCTCATTTCTTGGATCCTCATCATTTCCATATCATTATTAAACCTCAATGTGACTGCAATGACCTAGATTGGCATTTGGACTTAGTAACCACAGCAGTCCCTTACAACAAAGTGTGACCCTCAGACCATTCAGAGCCCATTCCTCAAGCTCATTCGAGAAATTTTTTAGTTCAATGTGTTGTTCTGCCTTCACAGCATGTCGCTATTGGTCCAGGGTAGGTTTATTTTCACTTGAAATTGTTGGTGTCCAGTGCTCTGATGTCACTCTGCAATCACAATATGCTATTACCTGTCTAGGGTAGTTATTCTTTTCATATTGAATGCCCGGTTGTCTTTGCCCATGACAGAGTCTTACCCAGATAGGATCCAGGCCTTTTCATGCCTCTATGGCAGGAATGATAGCGAAGATTAGTGATGTGCGGACCCAGCTTGGCCTGAAAGCAGGGGCTTGGGCTTGGCTTTTGGGGGCTTGGGCTTTGCAAAACCTCAGGCTGAGCCGTGGGCCAAAGCCACAGCTTGGCTTGGGCTCAATGACAGCTTTCAAAAACAAAATGATTCAAAATTAAGCAAGTAGCGAGTGAAAGTGACTTACAACCCACCACTGAATAGTGGTCATACCTGCCGAGGGAACAACATCAATGGTGCGAAGCACAAAGATGGGCAACTCACCTTTGTTTCTGACATATGAAGTATTTGTTGGATTTGTGGAAGAAACTAGAGTAGCAATGGTTAGACGTATTGAGATGTAGTAAATAAACTCATACTTGATGTCCGGATGTCCATGGAAGTCTGTAACAGACAATTTGACTCCCTAAAGTAAGTATGCATTGATATCAATGATGGGTGAGCAGGGACATAAAGCCACAGCTTGAGCTGCCAGCTTCGGCTTTCCAACAGCTCAAGCTAGGCCCTAGGCCTGGCTCAGCTCAGCCTAATCAGGCTTAGCTTTGGCTGGCCCATGGCCTGAAGCCAGGCCATGCACATCACTAGTGAATATTTGTTGAAGACTGGTTTCACACATAGTAGAGTTGAGATAATGTAGAATAAGTCCTACAGCATCAAGAGATCTGCTTACAGGATGTGCATCATCATTTAAGGTGTTAATATCTGCACAGGAGATAGGAGTAGTGTACCACTTTTGTGTGAAACCTGCAATGAGCAAGTATCCAAATGTTACAACATCAAAACCTGTTGTTGTAATAAAGGCACAATCATTTTGACTGTCATAGAAGGCTTGCCCCATGGCATACCCAGTTGTGAATTAGGCAGCAGCTCAGAGCAATGAAGGTAAAGATGATTTGGCTGTCAACTTTCAATGTACTGTATCATTTCAACCTTAGGTTCATCACACCGTTGCAAGCCCGACGAACTGAACCTATTTTTTGTGACAGTCACAGCTGTTTTGGGTCAATGAACCTAATTTTGTGACATAACATATGATATGTTTTTTTATGAAAACATTTGTCTAACCACTTTTTTTCCCTCCTTATTGTCATTTTTGAGCTATACTTTGTGTAGAAAGTACATATATTATCCTACTGAATATGAACCTTATGAACCTATGAACCTATTGTAAGTTTGTCACAGCTGTCCTTGAGAGTGAGAGACGAACCTGTCACAAAACCATTAGGTAATGCAGTGCCAAAATTCCCACGAACCTAAGGTCAAAATGATACAGTAGTCTTGCCTCACTGGGTGACTTCCCATAAGGTTTTACAGACAAATTTCTCTTAATCCTCATACCTTAGCTGAATAGCCGGGCTGCATTAGGAAGGTCACTGTCAACACCTGTCAACCTGTCGCTCTTGCACTCATCTGTAAATTTTCCATTCTGTGGAGGGGTGCATACCCCTCCACAGATGTCTGTAAATCATTGCTGTGCTGATTCAGGCAATTTTCTTACTCTTTTTAGATGTCTCACTCTCAGAGTCTCGGAACTCTTAAACAGATCAGCTTGTGTAATTTTTCATTATCGATGGACTCCCTTAGCTTCTGACCCTTGTACTTTGTGCTATGTCTGTATATCCTCTCTGAAAATATGAATCCCTCTCCACATTTCAATTCACTTGGGGCTGATTCCAATCTCTCTCGCACTAATACTCCTGCAAGTTTTGTCTCTGCAATTAGTAGTGACCACAATGGTGCAGCGAGTCAGATACAATATGACCATCCTGCACCATTTCACTTCGGAGACGTAAGTGCACTATTTGGACTATCATCTGTCTGGTGCTAATCATCTATAGTTCGAACACTTCAGCCCAGCAGAAGCTTACAGCAGGAATGATAATTCAAACTTCCTTGAGGGTTCAGGCCAATCTTAGATGCACTGTCCCCATACCATATATTGTGATGCAGAGTTTCCACCTTCTCGCACACATGATCCTTTCCTCTACTCTGCTGGACCCCCTCGTCCCATTCAATTTCCTTCAAAACCTCTGGTCCCTTCGAATGAAGCTGTCTCTGATGAAGAGCTCGGGCAACCACTCCTTTCAGCAGCTCCCACCAAAGCTCTGAAGCGGCCGTCTGTTTCAACTATGCAGCCTCCAAAAGCCCGTCCAAAGAAGAAAATTAAAGCTGGCAGTGGCAAGGGCAAAGCCAAGCCTGATGGCATGCTGTCAGTTGGTGAAGTCCCCAAAAAAGATCGAAAAGCTGGTGTGACTGGATATTCAGCTGACGAACTCACTCGAATGCTCAAGGAAATTAAACAGTGTATTCCACTTGGTGGAAGGGCATGGGACACTGTGACAGCCACCTATAATCAGTGGGCTCGACAACATCATGTAAATGAGGAAATCAGGTACTATTGCACTGGACAACTCTGAGTGGGACAAAGGAGATGTTGGGAGTGACACTGGGGGCAAGGATATCTTAGATTTGTCCAGTGGGTCTGATGAAGAAGTGCGAGGTGTGAAGGTGAAGCATGAAGGTCCAAAGAAAGCAGTCATGAAGGCATTCCGTGCAAACCCTCTGCTTGAACCTGGTGTTCGTTGTCCACGTACCACTGCTGCATCTGAGGCATTGTCTTCTCTCACATCTGTCTTTAATCCAGCTGTCATCAAGGAACGTGAAGAAACCCAGCTCTCGTCATTGGTCCAGTTTAATCAGATTAGCTCACTGCAGACTGAGCTTTGTGAAGCAAGGCAATGAATCGAATCTCTCAATGACCATCTCATGCAAGAGTGTCATCATGCAGATCGTGCAGAAAGCCAAGTTGAAATGCTCAAGTACATGCTGTCATCTCGGGACGAGGCTCAGTTATATTATACTCCTGCTCGTCCTCATCCTCGTCATTCCTATGACTCTGGCCACTCATATCAACTTGAAATTTGTCATTCTTGAGAACCCCCAGCTTCACCATACCATTTGCACTCTCCATCACAAACTCATTGTCATCCTTCTAACTACTACTACTCTCCATCACATCACTCCTCGCCTACACACAAATATATGTCTGAGGCTGGTCCTTCAGGAACTTCAAAAGCTGGCACCACCAATGGCCTTGATGCACTCGCACTACTAGCAGCTGATATTATAGAAAAGGATAACCATGGTCTGAAGTAGTTTCAAAATACTGTCTTTATTTGAGTAGTAACAAAATCTATTGGTTTTGCACCACAAGATGATAGCAAGCAACACAATCATAGTGATGGATCTCACCAAATAGAACATTGCCCAGATCAAGCCATAGCTGCTCATCCTCCAATGCTTTCCAGATAGGCATGTATACACTACGAATCTGATTAATACCAACACAAATGGATCTCACATTGCTTAGTCTGACACACAACTCCAGGAGCCTCTGTCATCGTGCTTGATCATTGACATCTAATGGGACACAAAGTCTGCCAAAAGAACCCTGCATCATTCGCATACCCCACTCTGCTGTCTGATGATAGGACAGCAGATGCTGTTTGAATGCAAGGAGCTCTGCCTGTGCATGTGCATCACCTTGAAGGATGGCACCACTTTTCAGTGGTGCTTGAATCTTGCCTGAGATGGTTGCAGTCCCACGTGGAAATGCCAAGTCAGCAATGAGATAATATCCATCAGGAGTTTTTTGACGAAGTTGAGTGTATATGGGGCGAGAAGTGTGTGAGTCATGCCAACTTCCAGGAGTGTTCAGTACAGCAGATATGATGACACCTAAATATTGTGGGCATAAGGCAAAAATGCAAAGATCATATTCAGATTCACTTCGTGGAGAAAAAACAAGTACATTAGAAATAAACTGTGAACTCTTCCATCTGTTGTAAGTGGCATTCTCGACTTCAGGATCATCAGCCTCTTGACATGGAAGACTAAGCCCATCAATGCTGGCAAAGCCCCCCACGAGTTTTGGATGACGAGCATGAATCAACAAATTGTCCTCGATGATTTCATTATGGTCAGGAAAGTGAATTGCACCTTCAGGCATGTTGTGGAGAGTCTGAAGGAGGATATCAAGTGAAAAATCAAGGTACCGGTTGACAGTTGTGGGTATGAGTGCAAAAATTTGTTGCAGTGAGATTTCTTGCATCACTGAGCTGAGAAAGTGCAGTGTGAGCCCAGTGCACCTGCAGCATCAAGGGAACGGGCTCCAATTTGAGGCTGACCCCAGCTGGATACATCAGCATGGGGGATTGGGGTGGAGTTCCACTTATCAGTGAATCCACTATTGAGAAGTTGATGGAATGTGGTAATGTCAAATCCCATTGTAGTGATGTGAGCATGGTCATTGTAGCTTTCATATAGCTGTGTCCATGGTGTCGTGACATGAGGGTTGGGGAGTAGCTGAGGACGGCACAGATACAGCCGTGATGGATTGCGGACACGAGTTTTCATAAGATGAGCCTCTTCTGCACCAAGAATGAGAACACTGACAGCAGCAGCTTGTAGTTCGAGCATCTCATCATCAGCAAATGCCTGCTGCATTAGAGTTTCAATATCCATGGCAGGGCTCAAATTAAGGGAAAACAGCTGTATATTTGTGTTTCTATGTCTTATGGTTTACAGATTTTGTCTGTAAATTAGCCACTGTCAACTCTGCAAATGTTTGACAGACATCTTTTTTCTGTAAATTCTTATGGGAAGTCACCCACTATCTCCACACCAACAACAACCATCAATACAAGCATTTGCAAGTCTTCATCCTCCTCTTGCTCTACCATTTGCTCGTTGTTCATCATCACAAACTGTAGAGTTTCAGCATCAATAATAGCAAGTAAAGTGGATTTATTATATGTTAATCAATGTGAAGTGACCACAGTTTAGAAAGCTGCGTAGTAAATTATCAGAATACTTATCAGTGATTTCCGATCGTTTACAAACTCCGGTATAATCTATTTTGCATTATTTTGCCCAAGGCAAGTCATCCATTATCTTAATATTTCGCACGACATCCGAATATATCTTAAATATTGCAAACCCCCGATGTGTAAAATGTAACGCCATACATCCACAAGTGTTCGTGACGCGCTCAAGCTAAGTATTTTATTTCAACGCTTTTGCCGATGAAGGTGATTCACCTTTGTTCGCTGATGCGACCTTACTTTAGAACTACGGGCGAAGCGCCTTGAACGTTCTGAACGACACTGCAACTCGGCGAAGTCAAGTTTACGTGCCGGTTAAAGCCTTTAAGCACTGGCAGATTCAGCGTCTCGACTCTCGCAGCTCTGAGTGGTCTGACTGACACTTGACTTTGACAGTTGATTCGCTCAGACTGAATGCGGGCCGACGGTGCCAATCACAACTATAGCAAAAATATATTGCAGTCGCGTGTGCGAAATATGCCGTGGCCCATGGGCTCCTCATGACTCCTCGACAAATATAAATCCACTATTTTGATCACAATGTCATCTACCTTAACAGGCAGATCAAATTCCAGTATCTGGTACTCGGTACTAATTCACCTGTGACGTTATGAAAGGAGCACAAACGGAAGGTACGAAGGACAGCCAACCGTTCCTCGGCGCGTAACTTCAACGCCCAGGGAAATCGGTTCGTGCAGAAGCCGGCTGTCTGACAAGTCAAGGGCCATCATGTGCTATCACCTTGTTGAATAATGAGGGTCTCCAGCGTCAGGTACCGGGGGACGAAAGAGACGCTGGTTAAATCGCAAACCAAGGAAGGTGGTGCAACCTATGTGAGCCGAAACATATAAAAGCCTGCTTGCTGAGACTCTAACTACAGAACTCGAGCTCTTCAATCCACACTCAATCTCAACTACCAGTACACTTTGTGTTTTAACAATCCGAAACAATGTCACCCCGACCCTTCGTCAGGAATTTGACCTTCCAGTCGTGAGTGTCCATGATCTCGCTTTGCACAAATTTTCATCCGACGTTTCGCAGCAACGACCTCGGCAAGGAGGTCACGATCATGCTCGCCTGGAGTCCCAACGTCGAAGGCCTCTACGAGGACGTCTTCCCGATAGTTTGGAAGTAAGTGCGCCTACTCGTGTCTTGGACGATTTAAAACCTTGCGATTTTTTCAGAGTCAGCAAATTCGGAAAGTCGGGTGGGTGTTCCTGTTCTCTTGCTGCCAAGTTCTCGACTTACATATGAGCCCTCTTTGCAGGTCCATACAGGGCTACCGCTACCTACACGGCCCAGTAAGATGATCAACAATATCAATAGTTTTGGAAGTCGCTTATATATCGTATAGGCTTGCATTCGCCAGAGCCCAGGTCGAGAGTGGGAAGGTCATCAGCGCTGCGACCTCCGTCAATATCAATGTGAGCGACTCTCATCTATTCTAGTATCCAGTACTAACGCAAGCCATGATGCAGAACAACGAGAAAACAACCCTGACAGAAGCCAACGATGTCTATCATTTCTCTGTAAGTCTAGCTTCCGTTGATTTTCCTCTCGACCAACAACGAATACCTCCTGTAGCCCCCTCAGGCGGGAACCTCTGGCATCCTGCAGGCCCAGAACCACACTGGGAGTATTCAAGAAATAGCAGTCGGTTTGTGACCATCATGATCTCCTATTCTTTCGCCTGAGCGTGTTGTCCACCTCCAGGCTTCGTAAACAAAGGAGATTTTATGCCCACACCCGTACTCTACTTCAGTGATGTTGGGTATGTCATATTTTCTGTATTTCTCCTTCAGGGCGTTCACAATATGAAATGCAGAGATGGCAGTCGCGTCACGGCAAAGTTCACTCCGGTCCTGCGGGCCTACATCACGTCTGACTATGAAGAAACCTCTATCTTACGAGGTCAGGTCGACACCCCTGCGATCTGGTCGCAGGACCTCACTGGGCTTGCTCAGAACACAACCTGGAACCTCTCGCGCGACGCGTCCAGTGGACGTTACACGCTCACCCATGCTTGATCAAGGAATGCGACATTGGTGTGCCTATATATCTGTTCTGTGATGTCTGCACCTCAACGTTTACTGTGGTTTCATAGCATCTTCGTTCAAACCAATCATTGGCCTTAGTTGCTTTTCTCTTTATAAGATTGCTTGTATGTGATGGATTTTGGGAGAGTTAAGAGTTGTAGAACTTCTTATGGGGCTTTATCTATGTGTTTGAAATCTTGCATTTTGTTGAACAGGATCTCTCTCGAGTCCATGTCAAGATGTCGGCTTTATGAGATCATCGACCTACCGAACATTAACGCTCCACCTGACAGCGGTGCGTTGTGTGTGATTTTGAGATTATATTTATTGAATCTCCAAATAAATGAAAATTATTCATTCAACTACCCTCACCCTCGGCCTCGAGCGATGAACCTGACAAATCTCAATTGCGAGATCTGCAAATTACCACGATGTCAAGCCGTTCGCTCAAGCAAGTACTGTTGATAACGTTGATATTGAAGGAAGTAGGTACTGCGGTGAAGTTCTGCCATGCATCTCATTTCACTTGATTGTACTGGCAGATGGAAACGGAGTGTGGTGCTCGGTGTCAAAGATCATACCCTGTTCTGTATTCACTCAGGCTCAAGGACGCTCAAGACGACATCGGGCTAGTTCCCGATCCCTCTTTTTCATGCCTCAACAAAACCCTCTTCTGAATCATCCAGAGGCCATCATTCTAGACAAGGACTCACACCAGAGTCTGCTACTTATGGTCTGTGGTCTTCCGATTACATCGTGTGACGAGGTTGATGCATTATTGTTCGTCGCAGAGAAATACGAAATGTCCAGGCCTGTCTCGCTCACTGTATGCATGCTTATCATAACGCCCTTTTAGGTCTCTGCGTCTAAGTATATGCAGCTGCAACCTGCTGTGGATTGGAAGAAGAGGCCAATTATGCATCTGCGCAGTCGCTTGCTCTCAACATCTACGCACTAGAACATCAAGCCATTCTTTGAAAAATAAGCACAGGCGTTGTGCTTGATCAGACCTGATAAACTTGCCTCGCAATCGAGGCGAGAGTACCCGGAAATGGCTTGATGAATGGATGTACGGCCGCTAGGAGACACGGACGTTGATGTGGGATGGATTGATTGGCCTGAGGTGACTACGTGTTGGGATGCCAAGTGCTCTAAGACTGAGTATACTACGTGTGTTGTACGACAAGGTTGCATCTCACTCGGGACTGTATTGACAGCTTTCCTAGTAAAACGAGATGAAACGTACTAGTCGTGCACCCTTGAACACAATAGATAGGCTACTTAGTCGAACAGGGCAAATCGGAAATTACCCTCATTCATTCTCGTCCTCCAATCAATCATTGATATATGTATATGAAGTCTGAGTGCGACATTACCAAAAACCATTCAAAGGTGCTATATATGTACTGAAATTTCAGCTATAAATTGCGACAGATTTGAAGATACCAGCCATACTTAGCTCTAGATACATGGCAACATAATAACAACAAGAATTGTATCAAAGTAATGACTCGAGATTGCGCATCGACGCAAGTGACGGTGGTGACGGTAGATTACTGTACGAGTTCGGCTAGTGGGATTCTCGCAAGTCGAAGCCAAAATGTCGGAAACAAGACTCAGAACGGACAGGGCTAAATGAGTCGAATGCCAAGATACTGTGCAAAGACCAGTTGGAATTCAAATAGCGTATTAACCTATACGTGTTTTGTCGTAATTAACAAGGAGAGGTAGCAGCGTGCGCTACTATGACAGTAGAGTTTGAAGATGATAGATGATAGCAGGTACACTTGCGAGGACTGAAGAAAAAATTTGTATGTACGTGAATGCAGTATCAAGTTGGATGGTGGGTATAGAAAAGGATAGGTGGATATACGATAGCATGGTAGGTATGGTTCACTTTCTGTTGCGAGATTTAGAAACGCGAGGTTGTGGGGGCGATGGTAGACTGGCACCAAGGCCATGGACGGGAACATAATCCGCGTCAATTTGATCGCACTTGAGATGCATCAAAAGATTATAGACGAACACCTGTTCGTACCTGCAAAGACATCAATATAGATCGACAAGGACATCATCAGAATGCGCACTGGGCATTTGTGAACACGACGGTCATAGATTCCGAATTACACCTCAGCAAGTTTGGCGCCATCACCAGTGCCAGATTCGCCTGACGTCATCTTCGTCGCCGTCTGTACCTTCTCCTCCAAAAAGAACTGCAAGAAGCTGATTAGAAAAATAACGACCCGTCTGTTTATCGTGGGCAGACGTCTAATGAGCTGTATGCACGTTTCAGGTTCGTGAGAATGCGTGATGCAGTCGTTGTACATCTCTTCGGGTACCAGCGGGTCACATAGCTCACGCAACCAGAGCTTCAACAACGAAGCTAGTACATGCGGATCATCAACGCTGTCAAGCGTATAATAGCCCCTATCAATGCGCAACTTCAATTCTGACACAGAGTCGCTATCCCCAGGAACGCGGAAGATGCCTTCCGCTTTCATGCCTCCAAGAGCAAGAATTCCGTCTGCGAGGAATGGGAGAATGATGGGGATCTTTTCGTGCGGGTAGTTACGCTCTTGCAGGCGCATCGTCGCGTCCAGCGATTCTCCAAATGTGGACGGATTGAAGGCGGCGTCCGATGCCGTCTCGATCTCTGCCATTGTCGGAGGTTTTCCGCGTGGTCCTTTCTTCGAGATCGCAACCAGACGGCGGAGGCAGTGCTTGGCTATCACGTCAACCCTGCCCTCTTGCTGAGCCGTTCGCTGTTGCATAAAGGAACGCAGGTAGGTCTCAAAGTTCTTCGAGGGCGGGAAAGCAGTGAGGAGTACGCAGAGCATTTGCCAGCCTTTGAAAACGCTTTCTCTGAAACGCTTGTGAGACGGCTGGAGATCAGATGTAGATGGATGACATACGTATTGGGATTCCCGTTGAGCTGCTTCATCAACTGACAATATATCTCATCCCTCAGCTCGCCATGAGACAAACCTTCCCCAAGTAACCATCGCTCTTCCTCTAGTAAGCCAACGGTGCCTCCAGTAAGGGAGTGCACAGAACCATTGTGAACGGGTATACCGGCAGATTTCTCACGTTCACGATCGCCCATGATGTGTTGGATGACTTTGAAGATCCGGACTGCATCGTTCTTGAGCGAACGATTCAACGTGAGAAGCGGCGAGTTGAGGGGCGCCTGGATGTATGTTAGCTAGCTAGCCGCAAGAACTAGAGATAGTACTAGCCTTTTGCCACGTCATCATCTGTGCAACGGGAACCTTGCGCCTGAAGATGAAGCCTGTACGATGTGTCGAGAAATATTGTCTTGCGTAGTCTGATTCGACGAATTGTTGAATGTCTGATGCGAGGTCATGAGGAAGGGCAGGATATGTGCTGGGAGGAGGTATGAGACACTATAATCTACAAATGTAGCGTGCTTACCCAGATGCTAAAGTTGTAGTAGGAGCAAGGTGATTAGGTTGCCTGGTGATCGGAATTGGTTTTCCTCCCGTGGGACTCTTGACGGCGCTCATGTTCTTGGTTGCCTCTGGACGCAGGTTGTCAGACAAGAAAGTATAGGTAGTGAAAAGTTGTACCTTTGTTGAGAACAGGACTGCTGATAGTCTTACCGAGTACTGTGGTGGGAGGGGTCGACGCACTACGTGCCATCCAAAAACTGTTACCCGGAGCCAATTTTGGAGTTTGAGGAACCTCTCGTTTTTCATTCGCCTTCTCTTTGGGAGAATGGTTTGTGCTTGGCCGTGGTTTATCCATGGCCGGTGGGGATGATGGTGGTAGCCCGTGACCAATGTCAGAAGCAGCCCGTCGCTCAGAAAATGACAACATCTCCACAGCAGCATTGAGACTTTGTGGGACGGGAGATCGGTGTGGTACATAAGAGGACGATTTGGCCCGCGATCGCGATGGTGAGGTATCATTGATATCTGAAGTTAGACGTTTGTCTTTCTCTTTGTGGCGACTGGATCGTGTACTCCCGTTCGCTGCAACCTTGGCAGGTGGCGTTGACAATGATTTTCGTGAGGATGGAGTGGAAGGTTCTGTTGCGTATGGGGAAGCGGGTATAGGGGGTAGATGATGTCCATTTGTCCATCCACGAGGAGTGCCTGGATGGCTATATTGGTCTGTGGTGAATGAGCGCCTTACGGTAGGAGGCTTCTTGGTCGGACTAGCGCCAGAAGCCGACATCCTTCCTGGCGAACTCCGCATAGATGATAACGAGTGTCGGGGCAACGGGGGCTCCTCGTTGGAACGGAGTGATGTATGGCGTGCGTCTTGTATGCTTGCCTGTGAGCGAGCCCGAGTTATACAGGGAGACCGGCCTGGCGTTGAAGGGGAATCCGAAGTCGTTTTGCGCATGCCAGTCTGCGAGAGGCGACGACCCAGGGCGGTTTGCTGTGGAAAGGGCATCAGCGACTCTTGTAAGAGAGATTAGTTGATATGAATGTATCACTTGAATGATAGTCAGGGGAATAACAAAACCATCTGGACGTTCCCAGACTGTCTCCCCTGTCTTGGTTTGATAATAGTATGGAATTCCACCTCGGGAGTCATCACTGAGCTCCCACCACTCTCCCTCTGTACTCGGAGGCAAACTGCACAAATACAAGCCGTAAGAACATAGAGCTCGATATTTGAAATTGTGACATCACGCACACAAACGTACCAGCTGGTGGATCCCAGCTCACTTGTCCAGTCGCAGGGCACGCGAAGAATACAGTACTAGTCTTGTAAAAGTGCGTTCTAAACATGAACCCATATGGACGATCGAGACAAGATGAATACCTGCGGATCTACTAAAGTCACCCAAAAATTGGAGCCCCATCTCGCATCCTCCGCATCTACACGGCAAAAACTTGCTGACAGGCGGGGACTGCTCACGGGCTCGCCATTGAGGTTTACTTGGGGTATGCCAGAAGTATCCGTGGTATGTCCATTGGTCTTTGCGTCTGGATCGGCTGCAGAGGGGGGTGCCTGTGACCCAGTGACTGTCTGAGGGTCTGATGGCTGAGAAAGCAGTCTCAAATCAGCGGTTGCCTCGTTCACAGCAACAGCCATGTTCAAGGAATGGGTTTCTTGACGATTCAAAAAGTGGATGAGCTGGAGATTTCCCAGGCGCCAAGGTGACAAGAATCCCGATGGACGTAAGGAGCCCGACGACGACGAAAATTGGGTGATTTATCGAATCAAGAAACTATGAGGAGACGATCAAAAAGGAGGAAATGGAAAGAGAAAAATTGAAGGCAAACGGTTCCGACGACGGTCAACGTTTCGACTATCGCTTAAAGATAGTAACCCCTTGCAATTGCCTTGCAAGGCCGTAATCGATCCTCCCGAATTCGGAAAAGTATATCAGATCAGACCATCAATATAAGTACAAGTTGCAGCATAGTTCATTTACGTTGCTGTAACCAACGTGAACCACTTACTTCATCCCGTTAACAAATTTTCATCCATGTGAGTTGCCTTCTGCAATATCCTAGTCTATCCTAGCGTGATTCCTTTGCTTTCTCTACAAATTTCGTCAACATTACTATATCTTCTTGATCACCCGCTATCGACTTTTCAATCCGCTCATATACCTTCGCTATACCCCGGTAGACGTCTCCCTCGCTCCCACCAACAAAGTCAGCAATTTCTTCCATCTCTCCAATCCATCTGTACGCTTTCGGTAGCATAGGTGGTACAGTCTTCGCTAGACGGTCCAATAAAATTGGCTGCGACATCTGTAGTTCTCTCATGAGAGCATCCGCGGTTGCAGGCGACGATGCATGAGCCGCTGCCTTGGGTCAATCACCTGATTCCTTCACAAGAAGATAACAATCACCTAGCACCATCGTGGTATACAATCCCGTCGTTCCCTTTGTTATTCCCTGTTAGACGTGTTTTAGTAACGTACAACTTGTTCGCCTGCCTGTTCCAACTCACAGCATATGACATCTTCAGTGCACTAGCGTCTCCAATCCCCACGCCTTTTCCCTTAAGAGGAGATAGTTTCAAACCATACTTCGACAGTGCAGTGAATTCATCCAAAATTTTCACATCTTCCGCTGAAGCGTAAAATGTAGGATTTTGGTCGCCCTTCGGGGGCCCTCCAATAATGCCAGCATCAACAAACCTGATGCTCGTCCCTGAAAATAGCGCCGCGATACGTTTTACCGTTTCCGGATTGACCGCATTGCAGTCAACAAACGTCTGTGGGGAGGGTAACGCCCTTCCATGTTTTGCGGCAACTTCCTGTATCTTTTCGGCAAATGATACAGCATCTCTTGGTGGTAAAATACTCAGAATCCAGTCTGACTTGAGCACAAGCTCGTCGACAGAGAGGTCAATCATCCCGGCATCTTGTGCTCGCTTTCGTGTATCTTCAGAGCGGCCGTCAAGGTTGGTGTAGACTGTGCAGCCGAAGCTAGTCAGGCGTTTCGCCACGGCAGCGCCCATGGCCCCAGCGGCGACTACTGCCAGACGCGGTACTGCAGACGACATGATGGTTCAGTGCAATCTCATATCTCGTGAAGATACGGATGATAGCGCTCTATATTTAAAGTCGTCAACGGTTATTTCTGGAATGGGTCGAAGTAAACTCGCTACTTTGCAACCCATCTTGATGAATCTCTGCAATAGTTCATGCATATGAGCTGAATCGCACGTACAGTCTGACATGCATGTAAGATTACATGATTACTACCATCGCTCTACGCTCAAAACACATTTTCATTTCCTTGGTGTTACTTTGGCAGCACAGTTGTGGGATAGTCTCTATATTTTGTCTGTCGTTGTCGAGCCAATCTGCTTAAGCAATCACAAAAATAGGTAGGAACTCTAATTGAACAACCGTTTAAACTATGGATAGTAGGGAAGTTCCATTACTTGCACTATCTGTCATTGCCCAAAACTGTTCAAACGTCGTTGTAATACATCGAGTACTTACCTAGACTTACCTCCGCTGTTGCTGCCTTTCGTCGACTTTTACGTAATATGAGCCTTATCAAATTCACACGATAGTTAATGAAATCAAGTACAAACTGTGAACTTGAAGTAGGTGGTAAGCACTCGCCACAGTCTGTCCTCGAATGAACCACCTACATGGCTTGCATTCGAACCGTGTCCTCTCATCATCAGGTATGTACTCTGGTCTGGACCAAGTGATAATCACATCTCCCTCAGGCTAGCCATTATCTGTAACGCGCTGAACCAGGAGTAGAATCACGAGATCGCCCTCTGAAACCAAACGTCAGTTTGCTTTGCAGTCAAAGTCAGGGTGGGCTGAGTCTGCCACACCAGTATTGTATCAAGCATTATCTTGTTTAGGACAATAAGCTCAGGAAGCTATGCTAGGCCAGTTTTAGACGGTTGTCGCCTGTTATCGATTATTAGTGGCATACAATCATATGGGACTTTATAGGCGCCCTCACGACATGAATGACCCAATGGACCAAGCTGGGACAGACATGAAGCCCAAATTAGAGTTCTTGGCTCTTGCTGAAGAACTTCACTCTTACATCCTAAGCTTCCTTCCTTGGCAAGATATTCTTCGTTGTACATCTGTGAGTGTCGATGTTGAGCCTCCTAGATTGAGTTTAATTTTTTTGCTGGCAGGTATGCAGGGCCCTTCGCCAGATATACGTACTATCCTCAGAGCTGCAGTACATTGTAGAACTCGGCGGCCAACGACTACTCCCAGTTCCCATCACGGATCTTGGCAACCACACTCCTGTTTCTCAGTGCCTACAACTCCTGAGGGACAAAGCCCACGCATGGTTGCAGTTTAACCTCCACGCTAGCTCTTTCCAAACATTCTTTATACAAGAACATTTCCACGAAGTGAGGACATATATCGCTGATGGGCATTTCTGTCTATGGTACGAAAGTGAACACTCAGGAAACTGGGCCAAGATCATTCCAATACTGCCGAGTCCCTCACAGCAACCAGTCGAACGACATTGGTTTTCAGGATCGCTGTGTCCAGTTCCCAATGCATATATCGTCGATGTGTATATGGACCCAGCACAAAACCTGATCGCCATCGCGTATGCTGTCAGTCGTAACATGCTCCAGGAGGGGAGATTTTATGTTGACCTTAGAGCCCTGGATGGAGATGGTATTCACCCTCAAGCTGCTGGGCAAACGCTGCTTCTGTCGGTGCTTACCGCACAAGACAGCCATGACTCATTCACGGTGACGGAGAATCTGAAGCTCAAGGGTTTTGGGAGGTATCTCGCTCTCCAGTGCTCCCCGATGTTTGATGATCCGACCAACACATCTCGAGTCATCTGGTGGTTGCAACTTTGGGACTGGCAACACTCAACAACGTCCAATGTGAGCTGGCATTGTCAGATATACTAGCCGAAAGACTTGAAAGCTGACAATTGATTTATCTAGTGCAACCTCAGTGACGCAATGTCACATTTCGAATTTTCGATCGATTTTTGCTTTGTTGGAAACAATAGGTTGCTGATGCTCAGCGATAATTTCAAGCTTTATTCAATTGAGGATATGTCCCGGAAACCGCAGTTACTGGCATGCTACTTGCTGCCTTTTCCAGTGGAGCATAAAAAGTGTTCCCTGCCCATCGATGATATTGCGCACGGCTCGCAATTGCATATGCGAGCCCAACAAACGATGTGGACCTCAGACCCTGGACATCGAGTGTTATGCTACGCCACGCTCCTTCCACGGCTCGTCTTCGTCATTTCCACCAGCATTTTCTTCGATTTCGACTCGGAGCGCGTTGGTGAAAAGGCGGTGACAATACCATGGCAAAATTGGGGCCCCACAAATACCCGTGTGTTCCCAGACTCCTGGAAAGTGTATGTCAGCGGGAATCGGGTTCTACAGATATTCCCCGTAGGCATCGGGTCCCGGTATAGATTACATATGATGGACTTCAGTCCGTTGGCTGTTGAGCGCCGGCAGGGTCTAGGACGAGTGGTGAGGGAGCCGTCTGAAACAGAAATTCGTGATTCCGGGAAGACGTTAACAACATCTCTGCCTTATGTCGAGGTTGTGTCCGATAGAGTCTTTGACCCTATGGAGTCAATCGAAATGTGGGTCGATGGGGACAGGATTTATGTAGCCAAGATGATGGACCCGGCGGATGATGACGTAGGTTCCTCTCGGAAGCCCACTGTATTGATACTGATTTTATTTAGCCTGAGGATCTAAGGATGGACCGGCTCGAAGTCATCGAGATGTCGACCTGTCGTGACCGTAGTATAGGCATCCCTGAGCCTGTGTTTGACCAGGCAACCCCAATAGAAAGCAGTTGAAGATCCCTTCCACGGTATAGTTGATTGTTGTAATGCTTCCAGTATGTTGCGTATAAATAATGATATTGACAAGTTGTTGGCAGCAGCTAAGGACACCTCGTGTACTTAATATCTAGGTTAATTGAGAAGCTGATCCCAGAAATCAGCATGAGATGTAACTCCTCTGGTCTGGACTTAACAATCCCATCTCCCTCGCCATTATCTGTAATGCAAGGAACTGGGAGTAGAACCGTGCAGAAAAGAGATCGCCCTCCGCGAACCAGAGTCCATCGTCTGGAACAGAACGTCAGCATTACCGAGTCGCGCAATCAGATCAACAGAGTACTGACGTCCAGTCGGCCTCCAAACACCTGCGAGCTCATTATCGTTATCCCATCCTCCAAGCTCATGGACGGCATCCGCGACCTGGGCCCCGAAAAGGCTCTCGGCGACTTGTTTAATTGTAGTTTTCGAGTAACTGTATATGATGTGTTAGAAGTACACGATCAGGCAGATAAATATTTACCCAGTGGCCAAGATGACAAGGTCTGCGACCACTCGCGAACCATCGTCGAATACCAACCCGGAAGGAGAGAAGTGGGAAATCTCATGCCCGGACTTGACAGTGATCTAGTTGCTAGTAAGCAATATGCGTGGGGAAACCCAGCAAAAGTAATAATACCTTGCCAGACGTGATGAGCTTTGCACAACCCCGGTCGATATAGAAGCCACCTGGAATGCCGGTAAGAAAAATAGAATGATACAGAGTGAACAAACTCGCCTCGTCGAACGGAGAGACGGTGCAAAAAATTGTCCTCAGGGCCGGGGAGGAGATATCCATGCCGAGACAAGTTCTCCCTGAGGTCCCTAAGAGAAAAAGGGTGAGATGAAGAAAACGTTTTCGAATTTGAACTAACTGGTCGATGTGGGCATGTATCTCCATGATGTCGTACTGGTGATTTTGTAGGGTTGTCAAGGGAAGAGCGACATAAAAGCGGTCGGCGATCTCTGTCGCAGGAACGTCCTGCCCAACATATCCTACGAGTCAAATTAATGGAGATCTCCGCAGGAAATACACTGAGATTACCGGTAAGTAGACGGTCGATCGTCTGGCGACTCACAACAGCAGTTGGAGAACGTTGGACAAGCACTGTCTGAGACCCATGATTTGCCATGTCCTGAGCAATATCGTGCGCAGAGCATCCTGCGCCGACGACGACAACTTTCTGCGCGCCGACACAAGAGGAGGACTTGTATTCACTTGAATGGATAACAGAACCGAGGAAGGAACTCTGCACACAGAGAGTCAGCGTCGACAAAAAATTAAGTCCTGCTGCGTACCTTTTCTGGAATCGACGGCATAAACGGGAGTGCACCTCCCATTGTGCCAGTGCCTGTTGCACCAATCAGGTGCCGGGCTGTCACAGTAATGGAGGCTTGCCCTGAAAGAGATATAGATAATGTCCAGGTACTTGACGAAACGTCATATGAAGTAGCAGAAATGCACGCCGAGGTCAACACGTGAAGACCAAGAGTCCTTTGGTAATTTTCAAGATAGTCAGCAACGTCTCTGCAGGGGATATATTTTCCGTATCCCTCTGGGAATGCGACAAAGGGAAGATGATCTGCCGGTACGTCAGCATAGGACGAAGTTGGCAGTTCTTCAGTTGCACGCACTGTACGCCCTTGGAGTATTCGTTTCCAGTGACTCGTATCGAGAACGCCAACTATTGCCAATTGCGCTAGATCTCTCCAAGACAAGTGTAGAAATGCCGAGATTCTCCAAACGGGCAGCCACGGATAAGCCACACTGACCTGCACCCACGACGACCGCTGTGTACTCCATCGTAGTTTGCCACTCAGCAGGACGGCAGAGAGGCGTATGTGCACTAAAGCGATCGACTACACCGGACAACTGATCCATCATGGTTACAAAGGACCAGGCCTTCCATGAGGAGTCCTCGCTTTGAGTCAGAGTGAAGACGCCAGTGCACTGCGCTATGACCGTATGGAACTGAACAATTCCCTGGATGAACGTTTTTGTAGGACCAATGCGCCGATGACGAACACCTGACAAGAGTCGGAACCGACTTGGCCGCGCAAGGGCAACGGGGACTGAGAAAAAACGCTGGATTTCTGGAAGTGCGTGCAAGGTACGAAAATCAGGAGTGAATGCCAAGAGATCTCTCCAGTAGCTATCGTTTGTAAACGAGCGTTTGAGAGTAAAACTGGGGCCGGAAAGGTCAGAAATCAATGTAGCAAGCCACACGGAGGAGATAGCATCTGATATATTCAACAATAAGCAGACTGGGACTGATTTTGAGAGGCGGACTTTCCTGCAGATAACGGAACAGCGAAGGTTTCCACGCCAGACATATCTCCTGAATGATGAACTTGAAGGGGTGATTATGAGGACCATCGTCTCTATTGAAAGATGCTTTTATAGGTTTTATTTTGTGAAGCTTATGACCTCTCAGTGTATTGCAGCTGGATATGTGGATTTGCGCCAGAAGTGGAGGTGCGAGAGCCGGATCACCCTCCTAAAAACACAGGTCGTAATGAATACGGTGCATCCTATCAGAAGACAAGCAGAAGCCGAAATTTACAAGTTGCGAGCGATAGATCTAAGCAAGAGAAGCTCAGGGGCCAAGGAATCAGTGAATGACAAGGTAAGACAGGGTCGAGTGAATGAGGCTGCGAATGATGGTAACATCGGAATGGATGTGACCATGTGATAGTGTGCTGTGGTCCTGGGGACGAATCTGTCAGATTGTCTGAGTCGACCCTCATCACAAGCCACCCTACTACTGAATGCGCCTGGTTTTTGGCGTGCCGTATTGCTGGCCAACAGTACTGATTGTGGGAGAGCATGAACGCGGCGGACAAACGGACAAACGCTAAGACTATTGTTGTCTGCACCGACGGTTGGCCCTAGAATACCAGTTGTAAACAGGATAGTTCCGGACTTACTAATTGATCGAGTGCGAAAACGAACCGCTGGTCTCTAAATCTGTATTAATATCATTGGATTTGAAGTTAGTGTGATACAGCCTTAATCATACTTGAAATTTGTCTCACGGGCAATGTGTAGTCTGAACCTGCCAGCCAGTGAATACCCGAGGAGTTTATGAGGACTCATCTCCAGTGAAAATCGGTCTTCACCCGAATCGACGTAACATCATGATGAACCACAAATGATGAAATATTCGTAGGTGACCATAGAGTGGGATTCATCGTAGATTTTCTAGCGACGCTGGTTCAATGGAGGTATCGTAATTTCGCGCAGATTCTCGCACAAGATGTTTCCGTGGATTTGCTTAGATTCTTGAAGCCGCAGTCACGATGGGGTCTTGCAGAAAGATGGCTGTTTCAAGCGGATTGCGACAGTCCTGACGTTGAACAAGTTGAAGCACAGCCTTTGTAATTTGTAAGCAGTCACATGAAGACCCTCCGCCTATTGAACTTCCACACGTACGTCCGAGCTCGCCCTACTAGCCAAAGGACATCTACATTTGCGTGTCCAATGTGATCTATTACTATGCATTGTGAGAATGAAACAGATGAGAGTGAAGAACCGATTCATGCCTGCCGCCTAATTGCTCCTCTCCAGCTGCATTAGGAAAATCTGGAGGTAACTTTTAATGCAGCTTAATTATTAAAGCTCAATTCAAATAACCCGGCCTTAAGCCTTCAGGTTCATCACGGAATCAACCGTGGCCATCAGCGATCCCATTCGTCCTCGCCTGTAAGTTGTGCCTGGTTGATCTGGACTCAAAGACTCAGGTGTTTGCTTCGTGAGTCGTCATATGAAGAGGTGCTAACCGCGGCAAATCAGGATGTCGTGGAGGTAGTATGACGAGACCAAGTCAATTTCGGGTATCCTACGAAGTGAGAGTTTTCCCGCTTGGTATTGGGCCAATGTTTGAGTCTTCCCGCTCCATCACAAGTCGGTCTTCGCTGCCTTTGTGGTAGACACCACGATAACCCCCTTAACACGTGGGCCTCCACTCGGAACGGCCGCCTGACTTTACCACAGGCAAGGCGCGTGCAAATATTAAGTTCGTACGTTCAATATTTCAACTAGTGAGTTTGGGGATGCAAGCTGAATTTTTTTGTATTGCTGTCCACAGAATCAAAAACTCTGAGATATTTAACTTTGATCTTGAAACTTTCTGAGTCAACTGTCATTGCACTAGCAATCCCGAAAGTATCAGCCGATACATGCGACACGGATTGTGCTACATACGCACTGACCTACGAGTCATGACAGAACATCAGCTCACGCCATGCTTTAATGATCCGCCGCCACGGCCTTTCAGTCGCAAGTGAAAATTTAAGGTTGGAGAATATGAATTTCGGGCCCATTCTGTGGTATAGCCTCCATTCCGAATCTGACACCGAGTTCAATGAATCATCGGCTGTGTTCACTAGCTGGCTGCAAATCACTCTGGATTTCAGTCTTCCAGTCGTTATTTTCGGTCTCGGCGATAGTTCTCGATGGATCTTTCCGTGGGTCACGATGTTGCGACTGTCGGAACAGGGTAGGAGAGTCCACTGGCAGCATAGGGAACCAATGAGCCTGAGGAAGAGCGTGAAGCAACGGTACCTGCCTGATGCAGCCTGTTTGACTCTGCTCTTTACCCATGGCTTCCTGTACGAATTTGGGCTCACTCGACCGAAGGTTTGTTTAACAGTTGAAGTTCAGATAATGATTAGTTAGTTAGTAATCAAGGTTAGGTACTGAGCGTTTGTCTGTCCTGTTCTAACTTCTGAACTTCTTTTTGCTTGCTAGTAGGTACTTTGCAGGTTTGTATTGGATGCATGTTGAATGGTATGGATGATTTGGAAACCCGCTTTCAGTGGGGTCGGTTGAACTCCTTGGTAGCACCGTGACCTAGCACGGTGGGCGGGACTGTGGTCCAGTACTGTTAGGTTAATCATTTGGCCAGTTGCGACACGAAGTGGTTTGGAATACCAATACATAGTAACCGCTCAGATGAATTCAACATCGAATCAGAAATGTGAACTCATGACTATGTTGACATTATTGCGGCCGTTACGGTGTCAGAGGCCGAAAATAATCGGTGCGATGTGCCAAGAATCGTGCGAAGTGCACACGACACTGGTTGTATGGCCCCTGCAAGAGCCTCCGATAAAATCTTCTTTTTGATCAATCTCCTTGCGGCAGGCACCTGTTCAGTGGTGCAAGCTTTTGTGGGGGCCGGCTAACTGCGTGGAGTTGTGGGAGTTTAACTATTACCCCAGAACCTGATTAAGATCTCCGATTGTCAATCTGCAAGTTGTGAGTTATTGCGCACATTAGATCTAGACCAATCCCAAAATATGTTTAGTCTAAGTTATGCATGAGATCATTGGTACCATTCACTGGCCCCGGGCAATGCTCCCCGTCGCATCATCTTGTCGATACCACCTTCAGGGTCATGTATCAGCTTCCTCACTCTATGACTGATCGGTGGAAGAGATAATAGCATCTACCGTGATGTAAAATTCGTCCCATATCAGTAATGTATTAGCAGAATTCTTGTTCTAACGCCCAACGAACTGCCTCTGCGACATCCTCTGCTTGATGGGTGGGCTGATGACTTGGAGGTCCACGATGAGGATCGTATACACCTGTGTGAACTAGAATTGATTTCCATCCTGCAGTATTGGCACCTGCTATATCAGATTCTGGGTTATCTGCGGTGACATTAAATTGAGGGTCACATTGAGGGCAAGAATTGCAAAATACATACCGCCCACCATGTACCTGGTAGCACGTTGTACGGTCGTTAGCTGACCGCGAGGACGGACATGTCACCAGGTTATACGAACAATGATGATTTGGGTACACCCTGTAAGCGATGCTTGAGCATGATCTCGGCAAAATTGTACGTGGCCTCAGTTGGTTTGCCAAATTGGATGTAGGGATATGTGGACCCTGTCAATGACTGCAAAAACAATACATCAGATGGTTCTTGATGGGATTTAGTTGTTGATGACAAACTCGCCTGGAAAACAGCCTGGAATGCTACTCTAAAAGCTCCTTGGCCCATACGAGGAGCCTCAAAATCCGACTGCCATATTAAATCGGGGTTGCAAAATACTAGGTCGACAGGCTTTCGTGTATGATTGGTTTCATGAGATCCTCCAATGATACCCTGGATCACATCACACATGATTTGGGTGTCGAGAGCCCAATTTCTAGGATCATGGAAAACAAAAATTGCGCCAAATTGGATCTTCGAGAAGTCGGCCGGCTGTGTCATCATGTTTGTGTAAGCTGTTCGCTTGAGCGAGTGAGAATATTACCCTGACGGATGCTCTTTCTTCTTGTGTGAGGTTATGAAAAGGCCATATCCTGGGAACATGGAAAAAGTTGAGTCAAAACCATCAGGGAAGTAAAGAACTTGCGATGGGTTCCAATTGAGAATATCAAGGGTGGTATAAGCTTTCCGGAAGCCGTATCTGCAGTTAATTGAGATTCCATCAATAGGATTTAGATGCAAGCTACAAGAATTTTGTACCCTTCCGCAACCCTCCGAAGGGTATCACCCTGACCTCCAAGAACCAAGACTGGCACGTCAACGTAGTTGTGTACAATAGACTTCAGAACAGTGTGAGACTGTATGAATTGGTCAGGATGAATCTGTCCAAATTTGTCAGTAAAATTGAGGTTTCAGGACAACTTTGATATAGCACCTGTACACCAAGCTGCGAGCTCAACTTGCGACATCGTTCCTCTTCGCTTACACCACCGCCATTGGTGAGCTGCGGAAACAATTGAATGTTTACATCACAAAAGGACATAGTAATCATCTACCAGAATAAAGGGTATCTTGCTTTAAGTGAGTCAGTTAACTAGATGATAAGCAACAGGAAAGACACATGTACAGGCCAAGTTTATTGTTGCCATCAAGGATCGATAACGCCTCTTTGGCAGCAGGCAGGGGGTTCTTTCCACGAAGGAGAACACCATCCTGGGAAGAGTGCAAGACACAGTAAGTCGTTGGACAGTCTTATGGCATCAGTCCAAACCATACGATATCAAATGCGAATGCGAGCCGCGAACGGGGCTTGGCTGTACCATTTCCTGGACCTGTTTAAAAACGCGTGAACCGTTATACCCGAAATTTTCAATTGACAATTGTGGTAGCCAGCAGCCACTGCCACCAGCTCACCATTCAAGTAACGTGCGATTTGCTTGACTGTCACCCTGTTGCCGTATTTTGGACCAATGTGTCGAGGAATTAACATGCCTGCGGCCTGAAAAACGTCGTAGGCAGCAGGAGCAAGCAGCAGCCAAAATTTAGAGTACCTAGTATTTCAAGGTCGTGAGCACGAGCGGTGAACGTTTGAATGCGTGAACAGGGCTGAACACTGCTGAATGGATCTCACGTGACTGAGACGTGTACAAGTCAGCTAACTTTCTACGAATGCTTAACGTAACGACTGACTGGGTTACCAGCGGACGCATTTTACATTATCGCGGCCCTATGCTTCCCTCACCAGTCTCATCCAACCGACGAGGAACCTCCCAGCACCTCCGCACATTCTCCTCGTCCGACCTCAGACGGGCTCTCAACCTCCTACGTTCACGATCAAGGTTCACGAACCTAAGCATCATCATTCTCGCAGGATGCTTCTGCGTTTCATTCTTATATAACCTCGCTTTTATATTTTCCTCTTTTCCGCCTTCACTGGTAACTTACACGCCCCCTCAGAGCATCCTCTCGACCATAGCTCGTAATACAACTCTAGAAAACCTCTCCCATCTTGTCATTGTCCCAGGTCACGCAATTTGGACTGGTACGCAGCCTGATCAGGTATTAGACGCAGATCGGTGGACGTTAGAGGAATATCAGAGAGGGGGAGGTAGTTACAGGATTTCTGCGTTCGTAGAACACATCAGACGAGGGTATGTCTTCTCACCAAATCACCAAATCACGAAGCTGATAAATTCCAGAGTAGAAATAACGCTCAAAGATGATTCATCCTTACTCATTTTCAGCGGGCAGGTATTCAACCCAGGATACAAGTTCGTCTCGCTAACCCTCCTTTCTAGTGGTCAAACCAGACTGCAGTCGACCACAACAGAAGCAGAATCTTACATGCGTTTAGCAATGAGTCTAGGTCTTTTCCACCCCGACTCAAAACAAACATCCCATGCGCCCCATTTCCCTCGTGCGACAACAGAGACCTACGCTCTTGATTCATACCAAAACTTTTTATTCTCGCTGGCTCGTTTTCACGAAATAACAGGCCGGTATCCCCTGCAGGTCACCATCGTCGGCTACGAAATGAAGCGCCGTCGTTTCGACGAGCTTCACCGCACAGCCCTTCGATTCCCTGCTCATCATTTTGAATACATCGGAATCGAGCCTCCCGCTAACGAGGAGTCAGCTCGTATCGGCGAAGTAAGCACCTTTGTCTTCCTCAGCGGTTCTATGCTGTGTTCAACTGGAATCTAGGTTAAAAATGGATACGCTCCGTATCAACTCGATTTGTATGGTTGCCACGATTTTTTGCTCGCTAAGCGACGGACGCGGAACCCGTTTCTACGATTTCATCCCTATCATGCGTCGGCACCGGAGTTGAGGGGGTTGTTGGAGTGGTGTCCTGATGATGCGGGGATGGTGTATAACGGGCCGTTACCTTGGGACGTTTATGAATGAGATGTCATTCTACAATTTTGGAGTTCGAGAGACCGAGTCTCTTGCGAGAATTGCTAATTAGCTCGCGAGCGAAATTTTCGTCGGAACGTCCTCGGCAGGGCAATGCTGAACAACAACGATACTTCGACATCATTTGAATGTTCGTTTCAAGCGACTACGAATGCAGGAACTTCAACGATCAAGAATGACTGCATCGCTTTTGCGGACTCGACCACTGTGAGCATGGTGGTGCTTTAATATCTCTGAACTGGAAATATGGATTAGCCCACAATAATATTCAACCAAGCTTCGACATTGTAGTTTTCTCTCCTAGTCACGATCACATCAGCATCAATTCATCACGCCCATAAGATCATATCAATAAAATTACAAACAGGTATCAAAAAGTGCATATGTTACAATGTCAACGAAACCCAAGTTATCACAAGCAGCATACTACAACAACAATAATAAAAACAATGGCGACAACAACGATGGATAATACATGTCAAAATGCAAGAAAACAAAACGCGCAGAAAACACACAACACAGCGTCTAATAAGTAAGCTCTGGCCATCAATGAAAGCCTGCCAGGCATATGCATAGAGAACGACGAGGTACCCGAGTCCGAGTCCAAGTCCAGTGCGAAATATAGGAATCAAGGGCACACGCCTACTTCCCCTGAAACCCCCTAACAATCGTCCGTATCCCCCCAAATCTCTGCTTCGTAGGCGGCGAACCCGTCGTTATCGACGCTGGCTGCCACCCCTCCAATGTCGAGAATCCCATCCGGGATAATTTATTCACGCTCCGTGTTGCTGGCGTTGATGATATATCACGTGGTCCTGAAGATGATGTGGTCCGTGTCGCTGGCGATGCGTTGCGTGCCATCGTTGGGTTACGTTTAGATGGTGATAAGTTACGCGTCGTTGATGCATCGTGTGTCGTCGCTGCGTTCCGCATCGTGGGTATGCGTCCAGTGTGAGTGGGAGCTGTCGAGATGCGCGAGAGCGGTATACCCAAGCCCATACCCAAACCAATACCCAAACCTGTCAGTTCTGTATCTTCATCTATGTATGTATCGCATGAGTCAGGCGTACGCGACCGCGGTGGCGTATACGTGGATGTCTCGAATGATTGCGTGTGTGGACTGGGGAGCGGAGAATGTGGATGCCGGTTCGGGTCGTGGTGCAAGAGGGGCAGGTGTCGTGATGCGACGAGAGGACTACGTGTACGTCGGGTGTTGTCTGAAGTTCGAGAGATGCCGGCGAAGGGCGAATCTGACATCGTCCGCCTGAAATCAACAGACGCTGTCCGTCTGATTTCGTCCGGTGCTATCCGCGTACTGTGTTGCAGCGACGTGTCCTCGCTGGATGCACCTATAACATGTGTCAACGCGTGAAAAGCAAAAAAGGAACGACAACGAACCACTCCTACTGCTGCTCCTCGAAAAATCCAACTCCATGGCCCGAGGTCTACTGCTCGACAACAAAGACCTCTCACCCACACCTAAGCTGTTCCCGACAGGTGTCGTCCCTGTATTAGCAACCATCACCCCTCTTCCAACAGCATCCTCTTCCTCTTTCATCCTCCTCTCAATAGCCAAACTCTCCCCAAACATTGCCAACCTCAAGCTCAAAGGCGTCCGTCCAGTCCCTTGATCCCTCCTTGTATTCTCCTCCAAATCAATAGCCATATCAAGTACAGACTGCTGCGCCCGCTGAACAAGCGCTTCTACCTCTGCTCGTGAGGATATTGAGGGCATGTCAAGACTTGAAGGCGTTCTGCGAACACGTGGGGATATAGGGAGTGCGTCTATGCCCATGTGTATGCCGGTGTCTGTGTCCACGGAACGGGATACAATTAGAGGACTGGCGCCAGAGGAGTGGGGCGTTGGAGGCCATGGTGAGTCGCTTGCACTAGATTGTGTGAATGTGCTCGCAGTACCTGTTGTGCCTGAGCTGCTGACAGAGTCTCCACGCAGGCGACTTTCAGAAGACAAGATACTATCATCAGGAGGTGGTGGTACGTTGATGCTGAATGGGAATTGAGCAGGCATTGTCACTGCGCGGTCGGGGGTGAGCATCATATTTGGCATGGATGGAGAGTGGATGATAGGTACGCCGTATTCTTCTTCGTCTTCGAGGTCATCGAGGTCGATGGCGTTGACAAGGATGGGAGGGGGGGACTGGGGGATTCGTGGAGATTCCTCGATTGTGTCTGGTATACGATCGGTGTCCGGGGCACCTGCTGAGGAGCCCATGCTGAGGGCACGCAGGCGGCTGTCATGTGGAACGCTCCCACGTGAGGGTGGGCTGCGCGCGCGCGCGGTAAGGGAGGAGCTAGAGGAAGAGTTTTCAAAGCGGATGATACGAGACAAGGAGGATTGCTGGGAGCCATGGCCTGAAGTTGAGCGTGTGTGCATGCGCAGTATGCCCGGTCTCACAGGGGCTGTTGGCTCGGGAAGCGTTTCTTCGCCAGGTGTGGACGAGGAACTGATGGAACGATGCCATGGATTTGGATCGGGGGAAGTGCGTGTGGAATTGGTTTCTGGCCTGCGGCGGTGGAGGTCATGCGTGGGTGTCTCCTGCGGAGATGATGAAAGTGGTGTGGGGAAGACGCGCGGGGAAGATATTATTGCCGCAGGTGACGCAGGCGATGCTGTCCCAGAGACAGGGACGGGTGATGAAGAAGAGGGGGAATTGATCGGGGGCTCCGAGACAGAGGTAACACTTGACGAAGAAGTATCTACATTTGATTTCTTGAACAAGCTGAGGAGTGACAGCTTTGAGTTCAGTTTGCGGGGCGGGGCAGCCTCGGCGCCTGTGCCTGCCGATCTGGGACGACGTGAAGCTTTTGGGAGCGGGGGGCGCTGGGGTGGTTCGTCGTAGATATGAGGTAAAGATGGGCGGCGACCAGACGAAGGCGAGCCTTGAGGTTGCGTGACATCTTGTTCAGAGGAGCCTGAGCGCACAAAGAGTGGTTTTTGATCGATATCAGGGGTGGCGCTTGCGGACTTGAGTGCGGTGAGAGCATGGTCGATAGAGCGCTTGAAATGGAGTTTCTTCCTGAGGGAAGACTCAACGTGCTCGACACAAGGATGGGGTCGCTCCCTAGAGGAGTGACTGTCGCTATCAGGTGTATTGTCACCGCGCGCACGTGCAAGCATCTCGCTTGCGAGGATATCAGCGCACTCAACCCAACCATTCTGACGGGCAATAATCTCAGGGGTGATACCGTGCTTATCTGGACGATTAGGATGGGCACCATGCATAAGAAGGGTGCGAACGACGCTTGCGTGACCGTTTGCAGCAGCGAAGTGAAGTGGGGTTGCACCAGAAGTACCAACTATAGGAGCGGCAGAATCACGGCTGCGATCAGAATATCTGCGAGGAAGTCTATGGAAAGTATTCATATATATGTGATCGGAATCATGGATTAATGACGGGGACTTACCTTGATGCATTGACGTCTGCTCCGTGTTGGATGAGAAGATTGACTACGAGATCATTACCACCTGCACAAGCAGCGTGTAAAGGCAGAACGCCGTCTAAAACAGAGTTTACTGGTTGACCATGATTGAGAGCAAACTGAACCAGTCCGATGTCGCCTGATGCAGCAGCTGAATGAAGTCCTAGATGTGGGACTATCATATAGTCAGAAAAACCATAAAATAAAGGTAAATAATTGAATGACATACACTCAGTGGCGACGTTAAACTTTGCCTCTGCTCTGTGGTTTCTGGAAGGGGCCAGCATGACAATATGCCTAGGCGATTACACGGTTTGAAGATAAAAGTACCATAGGATGAGATGGCTGTACTATTATACACAGGTGCGGTGTCGCTGGAGATGATGATGATCCTTGACAAAGGCAGGCGCAGGTCCGGTATCATTCAATTACCCAGCTTACAAAGCATCCAATAGTGTACTACGCAGCCAACCGCAATTTGGCAAATATATTCTGTGGGGCAGCCTGGCCTTTGATGCACAGCAATAACTACAGCCTATCTGCCGCATGCCACATCAGATGTTGTTTTTCCATCAAACGTAATCTTCATTCGGAATTTGAGCCCTTTCAAAAGTTTTACTGTTCTTGTTACTACTAGTGATCACCTACGATGATTGCGGACTGGACACGCCAAGTATTCCAAGGTACGAAAACTCACGCTGCGATAGGGCCCATTCTCAACGATAGAGAATACGCCCATCACGCTACTTTGCTTACGGTACGAATGTGAGTTGGCAACACTTTGTACTTGAGTCAGTAACGAAGTCGAGACTATTAATTAAGCAGAAGAATAGCTTTTTGAGATAGCCGCCGTGCGGCGCACGCGTTGCCGCTTGTTTTCGTGCCACCACCTTCGTTCTCCGTTGCTTAGCTACATGGTTTGCTCTCGCGTTGCTTTGTCTGCAGCCCGATCTCAACTCCACCCGCCACCGGAACGAGTACTGTCAGGCATTGCCCGGAGTTATAGGCCGCACAGAACTGGCAACCGAACACGTTGGTTCAACTTCGATGACTCCATTATTGTATTTTCGAATGACCCCACAGCATCTTTCACATGAATGCGGCCCGCACTTATACTCACCCGGACCGGTGTTCATCCTACACACTTGTACCTTCGTACCACTCTCACGGGGAACTGGCAAAACCGACGCTAGTACTAGTGTGTATGTATGGCTTTCCCCGGTCCGCCTCCTGGGTATCGGAGGTTCACTAGATGCGCGTACAACCCACCTCTTTTCTCACTCTTCGCAGCCCGAAAGCACTTTAGCTCAAATGAATTGGAAATCTGACTTACATTACCTGGATACATATGTTTTGGTTACAGGTGTGATACATTGATGCCTACGTAACATAGATTACATATATCAGAGGCATTTGAGGTATGCATGAGTCGGTAATGAAAATGTTATCATGACACAACATGTCTCTATACCTTCAAAAATATTTTTCTTCATGCCTGCTGCACCAACGATCAGTACTTCAGTGATCACAACAATCAGGTACTCCGTCCGGTTGACACTTTCATCTGATTCGCTTCCATGACGTAAGCCGAATAAGCATAGCTCTTCTGATCAACAAAACTTGGAAGGTCAGCAGAAGATGCAATAGACCCATCACCGATGCCGATAACGGCAGAACGACAATTGTATCAATATGTTTGTCACACGTCTCAAGTAAAACCCGAGATCAGAGTTGTGTTTGCGAGGCTCAGCACGAACACAGGCACTGTGTGATACCATCATGATGGTCTGTACAGATCAAAAGAGCGTCTTCACATCAAACTTTCCATCTTCCACCTGGAGCATATTTGGCGCATCAGGCGCCTCGTCCCCAGCCTCCAGATGACCCTCTCCAAGCACCCCCCTATGCATTACTAACTTTCCTGGAAATTGCAAAGTTGTCAAGAACGATGCTGTTGAATCTGCATCTGACGCCAGGCATGAAAAGGATGGAGTCTTGTTGGATCTGTATGTCTCCTGTCATTATTGTCTGGTTAAGAATCGACATGGTTATCTCCAGGATCTCGGAGATGACAGGCAGACGCTAGTCGTTGTATGTCTCAAGAAGACATTTATGGGCAAGTCCTTTTTCGACGAGCGCAAGTTTCCATCCTATGCTGCTGTACGGCGCGCTCTATTGTGTCTGGATTTACCTCACAGCATCTTGTAAACCTGAATTGAGTCCCGAATCGTATAGAAATGAGTAAGTATTACCACCGATCAGACCAGCCATCAAGTCAACATCAAGTATTCATAAATAGACATACAATCAATCAGCAGCATGTACGGCAACTTCCATCAGCACAGCTACACCGTGACACGCCTCATACCGCCTAGGCCCTACAACGGACACCGTACCCTGGCTCAACTCATTCACCATGCAGATTTTGGTCCTAAGAAAGACGCATCGACACATAAAGGACAGGCAAAACGCACCAGAATTCTTCCGCCCAAACCAGCGTAGGTGTCAACGATACGACAACCTGTAATACAATTTCCTTCTGAGAAATCTTCGTCGGGTGTATCTAGGACCGAAGATGAAAACCCTCGGCAGCTTCATCGGTTGGACGCAAAAACATAACGTGAATCTCCAAGCGTAATGAGCAGAAGTACATACGATAGTTCACCAGCGTTTACAAATCGATGCCAATGCTTCCGAGACAGGATCAAGAGGTTCTGCCATCGGATAGTGAGAGAAAATGGACTTACCACTCTATGAAGACCAACGCCTTTTGAACGAATATCACTAGTAACAAGGAGGTCGACATTGTCTCCAGTCTCGGCCGAAAACATAAACCCAAGCATAATGTCTGTGAACCCAAATTCAGTCTTATCCTGGCGTATTTGAGCGCGTCTCACCTTTTGCACCGTCGAAGCCGATCATCCACTTGCTATTGAAAACATTTAATATATCGCAAGAACAGTCGGGACACCTTCGTTAGATTGTTCCAACTAGCGCAGTTCGGTATCCATCTTGACAGTGAATGAGAGTATCTGTAGGTGGCTTCGCAGAATCATGTTCAAGAACTGCTGACCTATGATCTTTATGGTGTGCTGGAAAACAAAACGATCAGCATGAAACCTTGAAAACACGTCTGTGCTGCGCATGGATAATATGCTGGTAGGTTGAAGATTCCGTATGCGGGGGCTAGCGAAGAGTCTGTCAGGGGTTACAACATTCGAGGCCAATACGAACGGACGATGGGAGCCAGCTTCGCCTGATCGTTGACTTCTGAGCCATTGAGAAAGTTGAAGAGTTTAAAAAAGCGTAGCCATGTTGTGCACTCAATGAAACCATGGTCCGGTATGTCTCGAGTACCAGGGCATGACAAATGGAGGAGTGTCAACGCTACTACCATTGGCCCAGCGCCTACCTAAGAAAGAGGAGTTCAGTTGAGTTGCAAACAACCATCATGAAAGGTCACTTATGACTAGCGATGCATGTACACATCTCATAAAACGTGCCGTTGTCGTCAGCTTGAGTCCAAATGCATCATACAAAGTGATAGATGTCGGCCGTCAACCAGGGTGGCACCTTAGTAGGTCAGTGGCTTAAGAACTCACTCACTTTTCGTGGGCACCGCGAGACCGCAGTACCATCCACCCGGTCGAAGTATTAATGGTCTCTTTAAAGATCATGCCCTGCCGTTAGATCCCACTGGTAGTGCGAGTCAAATCAAGTCAGATGCAAACCAAAGAGTGCGGTATCACCAGCTATAAAGCTTATAAGGAAAAAATATGTACCGGGGACGACTCAGTGCATAATTGGAGTGCACCCAATGTTGACAAGGCCGTTCTGAAAATAGGTTGATGTGTCCCATATGTTCACCTATGGTGCAATTGTTTTTATCGTCTCCTACAAGAAGTCGTGTGCCATCGGGCGTCCATGCAAGTGAGAAGGTGTATGATCTGCTAGCCAAAGAAGCAACGCGTTCCGATTCTTCCGAATCCATCGTGCCTGGATTATTATAAATATCGATATTCTTGAATGGTGTGATGGCAAGAAGTTCTCCGCACGGCGAATAGCGGATGCGAGTGAATTAAACCACTACATCTGATTAAGATAGGCCTCAAGCAGTTTCTGCAAACATCACGTGATGTGACTTAGCTGTGACTTTACTTGTGATTACTGCATTTGGTACCGGGACTCCAGATACAATGTATGCCTTAAACCTTACTTGTGTCGCTATCTCCTCCTTCAATTTCACACAATGGTAATTCTAAAACAAATGACTCGTTAAAAAGTACGTATACTACAACTTCTCCGTTTTTGTTTTTTTATATCTTGTCGCCATGGACATCCTATACACATTCATTGCTTTTGTCACGCTTCATCACACTTTATCACGTGACGTTTACAGAAACTGCTCGAGGCCTATCTTAATAGTTCTCCTTGTACCAGCCACGTCTTGGCACACCAAAACTCACCGATCCATCACATGAACCAGAGGCCAGCACTGTACCATCCGGAGAAAAATCCAACGAGTCGACAGTACTGGAGTGGGCTTCGATGGGCTGGACGAGAAATTCACTAGTTTCACCGTACCAGGCGATGATCTTTCCGCTCCAATCACCGCTCGCTATTATTCGACCATCTCGTGATACCGCCAATGCCTGCACCTTGTCGCGATGCCCCTCCAATGTCATCTTCTTCAACACAACACCTGTCTTCAAGTCCCACATACGAATTGTCTTGTCGTACGAGCCCGTAGCCATTCGTCGCTTATCGGGGAGCGGAGCGACTGCGTTTACGGTCTCCTGATGATCTTCAAAAACTTCAAGGGCGCTGAGAATGTGCTGTGATATCTTATAGGCACGGTCGAGGAGGAATTGGGGGTATCTTTTTCTAAGGTGCAGAGGTACGAGTATTGTGCGCTTTTATGCTACCTCATTTCAATTTTCCATAGACGCCTAAGGCACGAGGCATTTCGCCATCACCGTTGCAGCAAGGATGTTCCCTATTGTCATAACCGCCTTCCTCGATTGTACACCCCTCCCACTGCTTCTGCATTGCATACATGCGTTCGACTCTCCACAGTTTCACCCTCGAACACTATTTATCCTGGATGGCCTAGTGAACTTTGTGCTGTCTTGTGTCTAACAGCCACTCCAGCCCATCGCCATGTAACCTACTTGAGCGCAGGCACATAGATCACCTGTTTGCCCTACCGACTGTGTGCACCGGATGCTGCTAAAATTTTCTCTTCTCCGGTCTGAAACTCCTAACTACTTCTGCGATATTGGAGTTTTCGCCTTCATATCTATGTTTTATCGAAGACTTATGCGATCATCTTTCCTAAAAGCGCTCACAATCCTGATTATAGCGGTATGCCCATGGTTCATATCATTTTCCAGCTT